AGTAATCGGAGGAAGCAGACCGTCGATTATTGGGAGAGACCTAATGCCAAATCTGGGATTGCAGATAGTGCAGAAGGCACCGGAGGAGAACGTGATGTCGGTGCAGGGAGAACAACCTGGGGCCGACGCAACAGAGGAGGAGGACTCATTAGACCCCTGGCAGAATTATTTCAGTAAGCAATTTAAAAACCTTTTTAACAGAGTCGGGAAAGTTAAGAATTATAAGGTACACGCGAATTTTTTTGAAACGTTAACGCCGATTCAACAAAAAGGACGGAGAGTGCCCATCACATTGCAGGATAAGGTCGATAAGGAAATCAATAAGCTTTTACGGCAAGGGCACATCGAAAAACTGAAAGAATGTTTGGACAAGTATTTGTTTCTCCGATTGTAATAACGGTGAAAAAGGACGGATCAGTGAAATTAGCGTTAGAATCCCGGGAGTTAAACAAGCAAGTCCACAAGAATAAATACCAAATGCCGAATATTGAAGAGCTCATGGATACGGTAGGACAAACGATAAGCGAACGGAAACCAGGAAATGTATATTTCTCTACGATGGATCTTACGTATGCGTACGGCCAATTACCACTTAGCCCGGAAACAACCGTCCAATGCAATTTTTCGCTGGTGGGAGCAAAATCAACGGGCACGTATCGTTTTCAAATGGGGTTCTACGGCCTCACATCCATGCCAGCGGAATTTCAAAGAGTGATGGATACGATCCTTTCGGAGTTTCCGCATGCGCACGCTTTTATTGACGACATTTTGGTGGAAACCAAAGGCACTGAGATTGAGCATATCTAGGGGGTCGAAAGAATCTTACGGAAGTTAGATCGCGAGAATATGTCGCTTAAGCTTACTAAATGCCAATTTGCGCGGAAAGAATGTGAATGGTTGGGGCATAAAATATCTTGTACCGGAATAACACCGCTAATCCGAAAAACGGAATCGATCGAATCGCTAAAAGCACCAAAAACGGTGTCGCAGCTAAAATCCTTTATGGGTTCTTTTCATAGCCTGCACAAATACCTTCCAGCACTCGCGGAATCATCAGCCTCGTTACGTCCTTTATCAAGCAGGAAAAACGAATATATTTGGAATAATGAATGTCAAATATCATTCGACAATCTAAAAAAGCAGGTGGCTAATATAGTAGAATTTCGGCACATTGACATACACCGTGACACAAGTATTGTATGCAACGCTAGTCATAACGCGCTCGGAGCTGTCCTTGAGCAACTAAATTCAGACGGCTGGAGGCCGACATCCTTCGCATCCCGGTACTTAAACGAGGCAGAGAAAAAGTACTCTACAAATGAATTAGAAATGCCTGCATTTGTGTGGGGGGCGGAGTATTTCCGCAACTATGTGTTGGGGAGAAAATTTTTAATTGTTTTGGATCATAACGCACTGGTATCATTGCTAAATGGGAACAACAAAAAGAACAAAATAATGTTCAGTAGATTAACTAGATGGTTAGATCGTCTTATACCGTTCGATTTTCAAGTAGAGCACAAACCTGGAGCAAAAATTGGACTCGCAGATTATCTATCGAGGCACCCCAGCTTGGATGCTAAACCGGTCAGCACCTATGATAGTATGTTGACCGTGGCGAAAATTAGTAAAACTAGATCCGCCCTCGGATTTGAGAAGGATGTTGTCTCCAAAGGTAGACTCGAGTCTCCACCGGTTACTAATATTAAACGCGTTTGTAATATATCGAATAGAAAACAACCGGTAGAGGGCGAACGATCATGCGGTGGAAATTGGACCAATCAGAGAGCGAAGAATTGCATTTCCGGCAGGTCAATTAAGTTTAGTGGAAATTTAGTTGGGACTATTATTGAAGCTGACTTTGGTTACTTAAATTCTTCAAACACAAAAATTCAAAATTCAAAATATAACTCAAATTCTTCAAACACAAAAAATCTAAATTCAAAATATAACTCAATTATGGAAATTATTGGAACGACACCCCAGCATTAGTAGTAGCGATGAAATAGAGGAGATTGATCAGGATATGCAAGCGGTTACAACAGAAGTCAGAAGCACTAAAACTAAAACCATCATTTCTATTCCGTCGGTTTACCCTGGCGAAAGTTAGCTACCGTTAAATCCGGAAAATCTAGTCATGTCCGTTATCCCGAGAAATTGTAAAGTTGTGAGTAAACAAACCACCCTTCCCGAATTTTTTAGTCTTCGATTTATAGAATCACGATATAGTTCCGATCCTCAATTACAAGCCATTATCGAAATGATTAAACGTAAAGACCCTCAGTTACATTCAAAAGTTGCAGCGATGAGTAAGTACTATGCACAGTACTCTGAGGATTTTCATGTAAGAGACGGATGCCTATGGATGGACGAGGGGCTAGTTATTCCTAACACCTTGCAAGCGGCGGTGAGCAATAGATTGCATTACTATCACCACGGGAAATCGAGTATGTATGACGCGGCCAAGACATCTGGTACCCGTACATGTTCCGTAGTTAAGCGATCATAGCCGGGAATTGCCAGGAATGCACATTAGCTGGCAAGAATTTGAAAAATATGTGTTCCAAAGATGATATAGGGAAATTACCTGAGCCGAAAGAACCGAATGAGTCGGTTCAACTGGACTTTTGGGGCCAACTAACTACTTGAAGGAGTCTAAATAGTATGTTTTGGTAGCGGTGGATCGGTTTTCTCGTTGGCCATCGGCTATGGTCTGTAATTCGAACCGGTCGGATAAAATTGTTAAATTTCTAAAAGCATATATTATTGCCCACGGAGTTCTGCGACAAATTCGAGTTGACCAAGGAACAAACTTTATGTCCAAGGAGGTTCGAGCATTCTGTCATAAATAGGGAATTGAGACGCTCATCTCGCCAGTTAACGATCATATGGCAACAGGATGTGTCGAACGCACGATGGGCAGCATCAAGAGTTCAGTACTTACGTATGCGCGGGAGGATAAACCGGAACCCTTGGATCGGATGGTTGAAAGAGCCCTCGGTGCCTTTAAGATTTGCCAAAAACGCCACCCTCAACATAACACCGTTCCAAGCGCACCACGGCCGGGAAACTAACACGGTTCTCAGAAATTTGACCAAAAAGCCATCATTACGGAATCTAAATTGGAAAATGTAATACGTTCAAAATCTGCCTGTTTAGAAGAACGAGACCCAAACGCCCAAGCAATGCCAGAGCCCATGGATACGAACTAGGGAATCCGATCTGATACAAATTACGATCGGAAAAACAGGCGACACCCACTGAGATTGGCTGAGGACCAAGCTGGTAACCACGATGATGAGCCTGGAATTGTGCGAGCACCGAATTACCCAGCCGAAGTACCACCGGCAGTCGTAATGCAGAAGACCGGGGAGCATTACGACTGCCGGTCTGGCGCTAACTAGTATTTAACTTTCGGAGTTTGTCTGTCACCTTCGGTTGACCGCCAATTTATTGTTTCCGACTAACTTTCTAACACACGGTTACTTATCTCACTGGATTAATTCAAACTATCGAAATCGTATTTTTACACGTCTTTCACTGATTTCGTGCGAACGATGCTCAGAAAACAATGTGGTACCATTTCTAAACTGCGTCCATATTTTCCTAAACCATTTCTACTCGATTGATACTGCTCGAATATCAAACGAAATTTGCAATCCGGTATACTTTTTGTAGCTGTACCAGCCATACATCAATTTGCTTTTTCGTACTCTTCAAAAAAAATGTTTTGTTTACTTCCTGCGAAAAAAAAAAACAAAAAAAAACAATTGGCTAGTCTTTTGCAAAAAAAATTGACTAATTTGAAGCACTTTCATGTTTCTCGATGAGCGTCAAGACAAACTAGTTCAAGCTTTTGAAAATAACAAATGTAAAAGCGAGTTACAAAGAGCATCACTTATTTAGTGAGCAATTTAAACCACAATTTTGAAAATTGAACTATTTAACAAATTGAACAATTTAAATTTTCAATATTGTGGTCTGAATTGTTCAATTTACTTTGACAACCCAACCTGGCAACCGCAAATTTCGATAGTTTATCTTTTTCAGATGTCCAGAGATTTGCTTAAGAAAACGAGACTTATTCATGCTATATAATGAAGTCCCAAGTATTTTTTCTGCAATTTACATGACCACAACTGATACATTGTACAAAAAGATAGTGTCCGTATGTTATGCCTATCATTTAACACCTTGAAGTTTTCGTTTTCTAACCGCTTTGCGACCCAAAAAACATATTTGAACTTGTTCACTGGTTACTGCTAATGGGGTTACTTCGGTGTCTACTGGCCACTTAGCCTTCAGTTAATGCTTTTGGTGTTATGGGGGCTCGAGAGGCTGGGACGCAATTGGTAGAGTCAGTAACCGCTAAATGTACAAGTTCAATTTATGTAGTTGAACCGGCTAGCAGGTGTTTTGACTAGCTAGCTTTCAGAACCTGAACATCCAAAACTGTTTTGAGATCTAAATTTATCTAGGCTCGGTTTAACTTACACTATTTCAAAAAAATTAAATCCTCATGGTTTATAGACTGTGTAAGGCTCTAGCTGCAATGTCAGAAGATTGCTTACTATGAATATTTTGACTGGACTAACTAATTGAAATTTTAATTTTTTCTTTTTCCCTCGTTATAAATTATGATCATATTTTTGTTTTAGGCGCTTATCATAACAGGGCAGCAATTAGTAACCCCAATGGCTTCGTCAGCTGTCCACTCTGACTTTCAATTCACTGTTAATTTGTTGTTTGTGATATTTTGAAGTATGTTACGTAATGTGTTACAATGAGAAACAAATTCTTCATCTTCTCCTTCTTCCTGTATTTCCAGTTTGGAGAACAATTTTGTTTTGTATCGCAAGTGATGCGAAGCTTTATTTTATTCCTGAGTCAATTTTTTTTTCAATTTTTAGTCCCTTGCAAAATTTGTTTGTTATGGCCACACGAAACTTGAGCCGATTATAAATTTTTTGTTCTGACCTCAGTTCTCTGTATTGACAAAATGATTGAGTGCATATGAAAACTAATGTTTTATTATCAAAACTAAAATGACACATCTGATGAAAAATTAAGTATGATTTACAATCAGGGAGAAAAATTAAAGTTAAAATTCAAATATTAAATCATCTGTTTTATCATAGGGTGATTTTTATTTGGGGTTTGATACAGATTTCAGTATCTCTACCTGAAAACTACTGTAGGGTTTGCAATTGATATAAGTCAACCTCTGAAAGTTTTAGTCCTTTTTTATAACTTATAACTAGTACAAGTATTCAGTGGACTTCTGCGTAAGCACGGAGTTGGATGACAATTCTGAGGTGATCTTTTCCAGGAATTGTTTCACTGCCAGTTCCTTCTCTGCTAAGTCGTCGCTGGCGCAGTCAGGGTCCAAAATGTCTTCCTCGGACGAAAAGGGAGCCGACTCAGTTAACGACGCCTGATCCGAGTCTTTTCTGGAAACGAAAAAAAAACAGATATTGAGATGTTCATTTTTCTAGGACATTTGACCGCACTTCATGAAAAGTTAGTCCAAATTAAGCGTTTTTTTTTTTCAAATACAAGCTTTTAATAAAACTTGGAGGTAGCAACTGACCTTTGTGACAGTTTTCAATTTAAAAAATTAAATCAAACCAGTGCAACTTTTTACTTGGGTAACAGTTTAAAATAACTTTCTTCTGTTGCTTAATGTTTGCTGACTGAGGCATGGGAGAAGGTTTTCTGTGCGATTATGTTTTTTGTCCGGGATATTTGGAACAAAAGTGTTTCTTTTTAATGTTTACTACACGCGTTATACTTGAGTGCAGCTATGGTAACTTACATTTTGTTGAATGTAGATGCAGATCGACTTGAAACAGGTGAAACTACTGCATTGTGACTGATGTCGTGGTAGTTTGCCTAAAAAAAGTTATTTAGATTATCCAAAATTAAAATTAATAATATTAAAGTAATCGCCAACTTCAACACCCCCCCCCCCCCCCCTCTAGAACAACTGTAAAACAAAACCTCCGCTCCAAAAAGTGATTTTTGGATTTTTATGCTAAGATTTTTGAAACACTTACAGAAGTAGTTCGCCGACGGTGCGATTGGGAGGAAGTTGCATCGTGACAGTTACATGCACAACAGCAGTCCTGACGAGCCGGCTTCAATTCAGAGTCCAATTTACCCGAATTTCCCCTCGCTTCTCGGAATAGATTGTTTTTGTAGTCCGAATTATCCTCTTTTCTCATTGGTTGACAAATAGACTTATCAAAGAGCCTGTTAGCTGAGCTTTTAGTCGATTCTGTTCTTCGCGAGCATTCGGCTATCTCCTCGTCAAGTTCTTGCTGTAAATTTGACAGGCTTCGGGATATTCTGCGAAGACGGTTTTCGTTTAAGTTCTGCTTCAGGTTTGTAAACTTCGATCTAAACAACATACACTCTCACTAATTTTCAAAATTCGTTACAACAACCGATTTTTTGGGTTCTTCCTTCGCGAGATGCGATTTATCTGAAATTATGATTAAAAATTACTTAGTGATTAAAAATTTGGCTCAGTTCAGCAGTCGCTTCCCGAGATGTTGAGAGGGACTAAATTTGATGTCAAGAAGAATATTGGGCATAAGTCCAGAAACTCTTATGTGGTATTTTCATAACATCCATTTTCGGTTGACCAATTTAAAAAGGTTTTCTAAAAACGCCTATACATACTAACTCTGAGGCCGAGAAAACCTGGTCGATAAATCTGGTTATCAATTTGGTCGAGAAAAATGCCAAGAAATTTGTCAAGAAACTTGTTTTGATAATCTGTCGCCCTCGCAAAAAAGTTGGATACGACCTTGCTCCCACTTAGTTTATTGAGACCTTGGGTTCGTTTTTATCAAAATACGTACAATATATTTTTATTTACAATAAGTTTTATAGCAAAAAGGATAAAAGTTGTGCGTACCTGTCTAGACTAGTGGACAAAAAGGCATTTCTGACAGTGTGTGACCAATTCGCGAGTGCCATGTCTTTATTGCTGCAACTGCTCAAATGTCTTGACCTGCACGACTGTTTGTAACACGAAGTTCTGTTGTGATAGCAACCCTCGTCTAACTCACTGGCCAGTGATTGGTCAGAGTGGTTGACCAATAGTGTGTTGCTCGCTTTCCTTGTGATTTGTTGTTTGGCTGAACCAACTAACGACGATGACTTCTGATGATGGTATGCCGCGCTACTCATTGATGACGTCAGCATGCTACTCGTTTGTGATTGGTTTAGATTTTGCTGGTTGTTTAGGTATTGGTGATTATTCACCAATGGCGACGAAGGATCCAAACTGCGGGTTCGTCTAGAAGGTTTCTCGGATTTTGAAGATGTTGTCATACTCGCTCGTTGTTGTTCACGTTTGAACATATTGATTCGCAACGACTTTCGAGCTCGCGTTCTAGTTGGGGTCAAATTTAAATTCCACAGTGTACTGGCTGTCATTTTAGGAAACAGTCGGTTTTTGGGGCTCTCGTCGGTTTCACGAAGATTGTTGTTTACGGTATGACACCTCCGACGGTGAATGTCGTTTAATGTCTGAGATGTGACCTCGGGAGAAACTTTAACCGGTGATTTTTCCCTGGTGGCCTGCGCCTGTTGCTGCATTAGCTTGTCCAGTTGAGCAATGGACGATTTTGTAGTCTTCTTCAACTTCAATATACTCTCAACTTCCTTCTCTTTCCTAAGCAAAATTTTGTTTATTTTTATTTTTGGGATTTCTTTCATTTTGTTTAGTTATGATAGTATTTTTCGGCTATGATTTTCTACAAGAATCGACGAATGACAAGATGTAATTTTAAATCTTCAAAAAACTTGTCAAGAATGAGTAATTATTAATGGATAAGGCTGCTTACTTCTTGAGTATTTGCTCCCTGTGTTCTAGCTCAACCAACACAGTCTGAAGTTCTGTCATGAGAGTGTTTGCACGAGTCAGTTTCTCTTCATAACAAGTCCTCACATCCTGTGCCTGCCTGGAAAAACCTCACATTTGATTCCATTTCAACTAACATACCAATTTTTCCGCCTGGAATCTTAGATTATAAGATTAAAATAACCATATTTTGTTCTTGATTATCAAACCAATTTTTTGTTTATCAATAGTTAGGATTATAAAAATAAATTTTTTAAATAATTTTTTAGATTAGAGTCAAAATTTATGCAATCGCGGTGGGCGTCGTCTGAAAAATGATCATATTTGAGCTTGAACTGCTTAAATTGAGTTTTTTTTTTGATTTTTTTTGAATTTTTCCCATTGGCACACAAAACTGATTGATATGAAATCAGCAGCATATGCTACGCTTCATTTTCTTCGCTAGATTTAAATTCTTCTTCAAGTCCAAGAGTGATTATAGTTCTGAAAAAAAATTTAAAACGTGACCAAAAAAAACAAGTGGGAAAACAAATCTCATTATGCTGTCGTTAAAAAGAGCTAACATGCATCAAATCGATTCGTAAGCCCACTTGATATTGAATTTTTTTCGGTCAAAATTTCATTGTTTTGATGCTCACTTAAGTTCATTTCTGTGCTGGTTTACAATCTCATTGTCCATCCGCTGCAGTTCCAGGATACCCCCACCCTCTTTGTTGATTCTCTCAAATGCCTCCTTCAACTCCCCCCTCCACGAGGCTTGTTTGTCCACCAGCGTCTGGTACGGGGTCTGCACGAAATCCACAGCCCAGATATCTATGTGCAGCAAGATTTGGGCGAAAGAAGGACGCTCCTTGTAGTTTTGGCGCCTGAAAAAAAACATAACTTGAGATGCAGTTGCCTAAATTTAAATAACTCGAGTAGATTGAATAAAATGTTAAGTAGGATAATTAAATGCGCACTATAATTTCCAGTTTTCTATTCACGCGTATGCGGTGAGATAATCTTGCGTGCTCAAATAATCTCCAAGTTGATTTGCAGCCAAGTCCGACCAACCCAGATGTTGCGAACGGCGCGACCTTATGTTTGATCTTGAACTAATATATATTTCTGAACCTAAGTATTTTTTTGCCTAAAAATTTTCGAATAGATCTCTAGTAAAAGTAGTTTCTACGTGTTAATTTTGGAATTCTTCATTCTTCACAGTTTTGTTTCTTGTTCACTTAATTCAAAAATTGAATTACAATTTTAGTTCTAATATTAGTACTAAAATTAGTACTAATATTAGAACTAATATTAGATTGATCCAATTCTTTTGGGCTTTAACTGAAACTGAAAGTAATTTAAATCAGGTAAAAAGGACGCATGTATTTATTTCTAAGCATTTAAGGGAAATCAACACGCAAAGGAAAAGTAGAACTCACTAACTTCCAATTTTTGCCCTTTTTTCCAATCATTGAGACAATAAAAAAGGTCCTGCACCAGGATGGATACCGATCATTGTGCAAAAATTATTCATTTTGGTCAAGCGGCTTGGGAAGAGTAGAGTAGCAAACGAATCCACACCCGAAGAGAGATATATAAATTAAATAGATATAAAAATAGATTTTGGCTGTCGTTCTTTCGAACAAAAACAGCCAGCTTCTGAAAAAAAAGCACTATGTTCCGATCACACTTAATTTTTTTTATTAGAACGGACCTAGGATTTTCTCGAAGGGGAGGGGGCGCATTTTCCAATTTTGCACCGCATGCAAATTTTTGAAAAACAGGTCAAAAACGCCGTTTTTTGACCTTAAAAGCAGGTCAAACAATTTCTGAAAAAATTTCAAAAGGCGCCATTAGAAAAAATTTAGGGTCGGCCAGCCAAAAGGGTCGGATTTCGTAAAATGTAACAAAGGGGGACCCTTTGTTCGACAGGAGGTCGAATCCCCGAGGGAACGGGGCGTCCGCCCAAACCCCCACCCTCCTAAATCCGCCCCTGCTTGCAGCCAATAGCACGTCTCAATCGATTCGCACGTTAATTTTTTGCTTGATTGTCAATTGGTACCTGATAATTTATCATACAACCCTGGAGGTCGAACAAAAAAAATATAAAAATTCAACCTTTTTTTGCTGCAACCCAAGTTACAAGTTGAAGAACTTAAGTATGATATAATACTCGACCCCACCTGACGTTTTTCTGTGTACGCCCTGTTATGTGGTCGGAACAATGATTGGTTGCACTGCATTTATACGTCATTAGTTTTTTATTCCTATTTTTTGGCAGAGAACAAAATTATTTCCGGAAAACCAGGGTTGGGCGTGTATCTTTATGCATCTTTGTTATTTTTAGCCCTGAGTCAGGATATATTCTATTTCTACTACGACGGAATTAAGTCCTAGATTTTTGGAGTAATAAACGGATAGGGCGGGAATTTACTACACAAGGCGGGACTTCAGGAAAGGTAATGTCTTGCTAAATTACATTACTATGCATGTCTCTTCATTTGAATAGATTGCAAAAAGCTTTTACCCTGGCGATTACAAAAAGCTTTTATTGCTACCAATAGTAGCACAATGGGTAAAAATTTGTTGGTTGATAATTCCGATCTCAAGGGGTCTGATTTTGACAAACCCCTGGTATATTTGACTTGAAAGCACGATATGGCAAGAAAAAAAGACAGTTATTGATTAGTTTAAAAATAGGCTCGCGTGCGATGCGTAACTCATTTTACCAGGTACTTGTCTAACGTAGTAAAAAAGATTAAAGAAAATTGTAGAAAAATCGTTTACTTTTGACCATTCAATCAGTCTGTTTCTTTTCAGAGATGTTTTTTTTTACATTTCTGACTACACATGGACACATGTGACTGAAAAATGGATAGGAAAGGAAAATTATCTTGGGGCTTTTTGTAGTCTAGGGAATTTAGATGATGAATTGCTTTCACAGCGCCAACTTGGGCCCAAATTGAAGTGAAAGACTTTTTAGTCCATTGGATTTAAATAGGAAAAGATACGATGAAGATTTAAACACATGTTTATCCAGCAGAACTTCAATTAGCCGAAATAGCTGTTCCAAATTAAAAAAATAAAGGAACAAAGTAAAAAATAATTTAAAAATTTAGTTCAGAAAAAAATCATGCCAAGTTTTTGAAATTGGAAATCTGTTTCGCCAAATTTTCTAAATTCTTAATAAGATCAAGTTTTGTTATATTTAGGCCTAAATTATTACCTAATTTTTGTCCTTTTCAAAATTCGTTCGCTCTATGTTTTCCTTCTATTTCATTTGCTGTCTGTTTCTACTATCTTTGATTGCATCCTCCCCGAAGGCCAAATTTCAACTTGGCCACGACCGCACATGATACAAAACATGCAGCACTGGCTGTGCTGTGGTAGTTTAGAAAATTAAAGCGAGAAAAAAGTGTAAGGAAAGAGGTAAAAAGAAATAGTGGTGATTGCGGGTGGGGTAAAGCGTGGGTGAAAATCAATGACAACAAAGACACTCCAATTAAGGAAGCCACACACACACACACAACCACAATATATTGCAGATTATTGATTCACATTCCCAAATTCAATTGATAGAAAAGAGAGAAAAAGGGACGATGCTATTTTGAAATGTGTGTGCCAATTTTTGGACTGAAATGCGCCGTGGAAAATTATGGATTGTCGTAAAATTGAACTGGGTTGCTAAGGAAAAACAGCTAATTGAATTTATTGACATTTTTGAACAGAGTGAAAATATGTCAGTTTGACCGCAGCGAATAATGTTAAAAGTAGGCTCAGACTTTTGAATAAGCGTTACTCTTCTGCAATCAGCCAGGGAAGAATCGATGGATTGCATTATTTGAAAAACTCGTTAAAGTTCATTAACGTCTAACTATCTTCACGAAGTCATGAATGATATCGACAAAAAAAACTTTCAGCAAAAAGTAATTCCTAATTATAAAACAAAATCAAGGACATTTACTAATATCACATTTGGAATCCTATATTTGAAAGTCTAAAGATTAAAAAGTTTTTTTTTGGCGAGACAATATTAGAAGATATGACTAAGGTTAGCAGGAATGGCATTTATTTATTAGATTTCTGCCATATCTGATTCATCTATATCTAGTAAACTAACAGGAAAAAATGAAGACAATGTTTTTCAAGACAACTTTCTGAACAATTTTGCATGTTATGATATTTTTGCACCCCTCCCCTTCCAATGAAAAACGCCTTTTTGGTCCGAGAAAATTCCAGCCTCCTGTCAGTTTTGAACCCCGTCCTCTGAGTTAAGTACTGCATAGAAGTAAATACACAAAGTTATATATGTGAATTATTCGCTCACCAGCACTGATTCAGCAGCATCTTGAGTGGGGGTGGAGTGGTGTTGGGTATGGGGAGGGAGAGTCTGTTGCTGCCCACTCCCCAGATGATGGCACTGGAGTCCACGCCACAGTAGGGCACCTGTCTTGTAACCAACTCCCACAACACTACACCATACGACCTGCAGAAAGAGAGAAAGACGAAGTTATAGATGAAGAGAACGTTAAATCATAGATATGATCCAATTGCTCTATGAAAAAGTTGCACGAAAAGAAAATGTTATTCTGACTTAAGTGCGACGATCCGTTGAGCTAATCAAGGTGGTGTACGTCTGAGAATTCTTGCGATTAAGAACGAAGTTGGAAAAGTCAAAAGCATGTTAGTGGTTGTTTCGACCACTGAAAGTGGACAGGAAATTTTGGTTCGTGTGTCTCAGCTGCTTTTTTTTCACGCAAAGTCTCGTGCTACAAAAAGTTATCTGAATTGGTCAATTGGTACAACATATTAAGTATAGCATGTTAAGTTCTTCCAGTCGGGATTCGATCGACTTTAAAAACGTCCAAAAAAATTTCTCTGTGTCGGGAAAAACAAAGAATTGTATTTTAGTCTAATCTTAGAAAAAAAGCGAGTGAGTAACTTGGAAATTTTTTGTTTTCCTGACTTCCGAAGAAAGTGGCGGAATATTTGTGCTCGTGAGTAACTTGAAAATTTTTATTTTTCTGACTTTTGAAGAAAGTGGCGGAATATTAGTTTTTTTTTCTCCAGACAAATTTCGACTTTTCGATTAGGAAATTTTGACGAAATTTTTTAAATATCAGCTGAAAAGTATTGTTCTCCTGAGCTCAAAATTCAAAAGATATTTCACTTGTGATTATTTTTCATAAAGTAATGGCGGTTTGAAAATTGTAAATTTGGGATAACTAACGCGCGATATAGTTCGAGGTAACAACGCGTAAGCGGAGATTTAACTCGTCTTATAAATCAGTCCGAAATCAAATGAAGCTTGCTATTTGGTCTATTTAACAATTTGCTATATGCGAAAAAATAACTTCGATTTTTACATAGCTTTTTGGTTAATGATCTTCAAAGTTTAAAATATTTTCTTTTTTTTGAAAATTTTATTCATTCTTTTAAACAAGCACTACTCCAGGACTTTCTAGGGTTCTTCTAAACAATTTTGCTCTTTACTAGTTGCGTCACCGCTATTTGATTTTTGTAAAAACGGCAGTGCTGATTTAAACTAATCGGACACAACGTAAACTTGAAATTTCAAATGTGTTTAGAGTTTTTCTCAAACTGGGTTACGATTAGACAAAAAAAATTGTTTAGCATTTTATCAGAAATATAATGATGCAATTTTCCCCTAAAATTCTGATGCAAAATCATACCAAAAATGTGTCATTTTGGATTTTTTAATTAATCAAGAATTACGCTGAAACTACCAACTTAATTGATGAGAAAAATGGATCAAAAGAACTTTCTTACACAGGTCAACAAATTTTTCGAAGTGTAAGACTTTCAAAAATTTGAGATAAGCTTGATTTTGATTTTATTCAAAGATTTAAATTTTTATATAGTACAAATGACCTATCAACCAACAATATATTCTTTCATACAGATTTTATCTTTCTAGAACTTTATGGGGCTGTGTAAGAGACTTCTTAAGATATAATTTTGTCATCAACTTAGCTTTGTATTCTCAGCGTTGTTCTTGATTAAATCGAAAAAGGCAAAATGACACATTTTTGTGGTAAAACTTTGTTTGAGTATTTCGGTAAAAAAAATTGCACCATAATCATTCTGGTGAAATTTTAAGCAACTCTAGCGCTCTTCACTTTTTTTCCAATCTTAACCCAATTTGAGAAAAACGCGTTTCAATATTCGTTTGTTGTTTTTTTTGACATAATTTAAATCAGCACTACTTCTAAATCTCCTCCCTCACAAACAGACATGAAAATGAAACCGCAATTGTTCAAAGAACCGTAAATTTGTCTCAAGTCTCGCCATTTTATGATACAGATATATGATACAGAATCTCCCAGTTTATAGTTAGAACCAATGTCTTATTATTCTCAAGCCGTCCAAATCACAAATTGCTAAGAGCCCCTGAGGCCAGATTTCTTCAAACACTCAAGTCTACCAGCGGAAAAGGAAATAAATATGCTGAAGGCTACAAGAGAAAAAGTTTTCACTTTGACCTGTTTTATAAACATTATTATTAAGAGGAAATGTTGAAAGCCCACGCTAAGTCTAAACCGCATAACGGATTGTTCAAAGACAATTTGACGCATAAAGGGGCACAAAAATCTGGAAGAAATAAAATGAACTCTTTTTGGGCTCCAAAACAAATGGTTTATTTTTAGACCAGTTTACCCAGATTGCCGCCGTTTGAAACAAACGAAAAAGCGGTCATTATAAAATTTGAGTGTTCAAAGTCACAGAATAGTCAGAAATTCAGCGGTGAAATACTTCTGAAAACTTGTGAGCAAACACTAGGAATAGAAAACAAATCATTTTCAGCCGGCGATATTTAGAAGAATTTGGGGCAACTTCAAATGCTTCTTTCAAATTAACCGTGTCGCTCTGCCCGCTTCAAAAAATGTCATGAGGGATTGGTCCTTCAAATAGAAGTCAACAAAACATTTCGGCGAATTTCAAGGGGTTGGTTGCAGGAAAAGCTTTGAAGATAAGGGGTCTTATCACACATAAAGAATGATAGACCTAGGAACAAAGAACTTTTTAACCGACCATGAAGTTGCAAAATGTTCTAAAGGTTCGTGTTCCAATTCGAGATATGAGACATGAAAACACAGATCAAAGAAGATAGCCGATAAAAAACTCGACAAAACAACCTTTCGTGAAAACGAACTATATTTTTACGATGCAACATTCAATATGAAAAACCATTCGATTTTGCAGCGCTGTATTGGTATTGTTTTGAGGTAGATCTAATTTTGGTTTCTTGTCGGTAAAAATTTTCGCCACTTGGTATACTTTCAAACTAATAGATATTTAAGTAATAATAAGATTGATCTAAAAAGAAGTCGAATAATATTATCTCTTTACGTAAAATCATTGATGTTCAGGAAGATCTGCATAAAAAGTTAGAGTTATTTTCAAGGCTATAAAATCCATCCAAAATTATGACTCACCAGACATCTACTCTTTCGTTGCACTTCTCGTTCCGAATAACTTCGGGTGCCATCCAGGCGAATGTTCCCGAGAAACTCATGTGTTCGTGGCTGTTGTCGCCCGACAGTTGCTTGCTGTTGCCGAAGTCTATCAGTTTGATCTGATTCTGCTCTCCAATCAGACAGCTGAAATCAGGCAAGAACTATTTTTATATGAAGTTCTTCAAACATAACAAAGATTCTCTAGCCAACGATACCAATATCAGCTCTTTCGTTATAAGAATAATTTCTGCTGAAACTGTCTTTTGTTCACGGGAAAGTTTTCGGATTTGAAGATGATCATTGGTCAACTTCAGAGCAGCATGCTAGCTTCGGTATATCATTTTTCCGTGCACGAATTCGATCATTTCTCAGAAACCGCCAGAGTTTGAAGAGAGTCGTAACTCGTTCCTGGGAAGTTTTTGTACACGCCCAAATTTGAACGCCAGGTACTCACTCTTGAAAAGATCTCCCATATCTCGCACATGAAGTTTTTGTTGTCGTCAGGTTTATCATCATCGTCGTTGATTTTTGTACAAACGCGTTTCGAAACTCAAAGATGAGTCACTTCAAACTATTATTCACTAAAAAGCACGCGAAGCTAAGTTATAAAACAGTTGCAGCAAACAACAAACACTAACTTGGGAGACTTGAGGTCCCTGTGTACAATCTTCCTCTGGTGGAGGTACTGCATGGCGCTGGCTATCTGTCTGGCCCATTCTATGATCAGCATGGGACTCACTTCCACCGACTGGTTTCTCAGTAATCTGTACAGGGGACCCACCGCACAATACTCCATCACTATTGCGAAGGGATGCCAGCACACGCCCCTGCACGACAAAGACAGGGTTCATTGTTAACAAAAGGGTCTCTTTTGAAGATCAAAATAGATCCTTACTTCGCTCAGTAACTGCATGCAAAACATTCAAATACCATTCGCTTTGGCTGATATAGGAAGACGTAAGATTGCTAACCGTTCACTTTTCCGGAAAAACTTTTTTGTTAACAAGAGTCAAAACTGAATTTTTTAAGAGATTTGAAATAGGTCGTCTTAGTAAAAAAAAAAGCAAGAAAAACAATTGATTCCATCGAATATGCGAAGAAACTCATGCAGCTTCTAGCCTTTAAACTCTCAATAACTTTAAGACGCAAATCATTGCATTACAATTCAAAAACGAAATGTATAATAAAACTTACAGTATTTCGACGATGTTGGGGTGTCTGACTGAGAGCATGTTGGTCTTGATGATGTCGATCTCTATGCGGGTTCTGAGTCTCTTCACAGCCACTTGTCTGTTCTGCAGCCACCCACTGTACACTACTCCCTGGGCACCACTGGTCACGAAGGTCATGCCAGATATGGACTCCATTTCAATGTTGCCAATTGCTGAAACAGACAACAGTATGATGCAATTGTCAAGTGTATTTCAATCTATCCAAAAAATAGAGAAAATACTTCAAAAAATTCGCATATCAAATCAAATTTTGATGCTTGATCAAAAGGTCGAGCAAATACTTTCAGGTGGATTTGGCTTCACCTAAAATTTATAGAAAAAGCTCCAAATAGTAAGAAATTTAACCAAATTAACCTATAAATAATCAAAAAATATCTATAACAATGCTCAAGTACTTTGCTACACAAAATAGAATCAGGATTTCAATGTATCGGGTCGCAAAGTTGATAGTTTTCGTCATCATTTAATCGCGCGCTCAACGCTCTGCTTAACTCACGCTCATTTACATCCTGATTGCAACTTAAATCATCACTCTATGTATGACTAACCTCTATTTCTGGCCTGGATAGAGGTGTGACTTTTGCGGCCGACCATGGCCCAAACTGGTCTCAAACAATTTAACATCCCGCCAAAAAATCCAGGCGAACTGTTGCTATGCACTTCATGGCTTCTGCGATAATCCACTTCAAAATTTGTCGTGGCCAATGAAAATCGACGCTGATTTGTCGCAAGGGCGTAATTCGTAGGTTGCGTTTGACTTGTTACTGTCTCGTCATTAAGCTGTTCGTTGTCTGTAAGAAGAACGAGGTGGTTTCGGATCGTCTCGGCCTTAACTTGATCAAGTTGTTCCGAGTACGTTTTCCGAACTGGCTGAGGTGTGAAATATCTGGCTCTGTTCTCGGGATTGTCTGTCTCATGGAAATGTTGACTACTTTGTACATTGTTGAGATTATTGATTGAGGATTTCGTAAACTTCGTGTTTGGAATTTGTGACTGAGGTAATGTATTAGGGTTTGAGGTCGTAAAATTTGTTGTTTTTAAACATCCGGGAGGTTTAGAAAAAGTCGTTTCCTCGTAAAAACGCCTGTTTTCTACAGCACCACTGACCATTTTTGATTCAGATAAAAACAAAGACAACTTTTCAAATATCAGATTTACAAATAAACCAACACAGCGACAAATTATGTTGTAAGAAGATTAAAACTGAACTGTTGAACAAATTTAACAGGACTCATGTAAATATTAGAAAAATATTTTAAGCAATAAGAGCTTGTATCTCAATTAGAATTAGATACAGCACTTTTTCAGTTTGTAAGAATGGTCATGTGACCTACAACAGCGCAAGTGCAAAACTGGAGTAAAATAACGTTTTGAAAAAAAACTAGTTCGTTTGGAAAATCTTCACCAAAACAAAACGTGTATGAGCTCAGAATTAATAATAAGACAAACAAGGAATGAAATAAAAGACGGAACCATAAAACACCACTTTTGAAGGGATTTTTTTTGCGGCACGTGCTAGAGGGACTTGCTATACCATACCAATAATGGTTTATAAGCGGTATTTGAAAGCGTGGTAAATGGTACAAGAGAATGAAAAAAATCGAACAAGCGCAATTTTCCAATGGCGTGTTTATTTGACACTATAATTCCAAATTGGTGACTTTCATGAAACGCGATAAAAAATAAACGTTTGATGCATGTATTTAAACTCGTGACGCGTATTTAAAACTCAAACTAATTATAAATTTTTTGCATGAATCAACAAAATGACGTCAAAAAACATATTCACGGTTTTTGATCAATAAAAAGCAAGCTGTCTTGTACAGTTTAACTTTTTCTACTTGTCGTATTACCGATAAGTGGTTTTGTAACTAGTTTAAAAAGCATGTTGGCCCAAAATACATTCAAGTAATAATACCATGATTTGAGCTGAAAAGTAAAACTGCTATTGTGGTAAGCATTAACTATAAGAAAGGTTTGGTTGCTTTCAAAACTCCTGGCTCAAATGTCCGCTTATGTATGAACAAGTTTAGTGACAGGATAATTTGCTGGTCTTGTTATTCAGAAGAGCTCATTGGTTCGTTTCATAGCACGAGTATGGGCCACTAAAGGCAGCTTTCCTTTTGGGCCCGCAACGGTAAGAATTAAACCTTGGTAAGAAAACTGGAGCTACTCTAAGTTCACATATAAAACGTGTTCCAAACTGGCTATGCTTGATCGGAATCACGCTGGAGCGGAGAATTAACCCGGAAATAACAAACGGTAATATGAAATTTCAGAGAAATGTCGAGTTCTCAATCGAAACAATTTTGGTCATATTTAACAGTCATTTAATATGAACTCATTTGCTTCCAGGACAAAATTTCGCTGAATGAAAATTAGTTGATCAGGTCAATCAAGATGTCAAAAAATAAGTAAGGTTGGAAATTTCCGCAAAAATTGATTTTTATCCACAACTTGAAGTGTTCAAATTATGATAATTATTCTGCGTAATCAATTTTAGGCAAAAAAGAGTAGATTTTGAACAAATAATCAAAGATAAATAGGAAGGTAGGTAGAGGTCAATTATTTGAAACGCATTTAGTTTTGAAGTTCAATTATTAACGATTTTTGAAGCAGCAGAATTTGAGTTTCCTCTTTTTAGTTCAAATTCAACTGATGATTAGAATGCAAACGGCATTGGTTTTGGAAAGAAAAGGGCTGAAAAGGTAGCATCAAATTCAGTAATGAGGTTAAAATGTGGTCTAATGCAGTGAAAAGGAGCCAATAGTCTGAATTTAAACTGAATATCTACCTATTGTTGCTGCCAATGACAACGGTTGTTGCTCTCTACAAATGCAAATCTTTATCCAATACTGATGCTACAAGCATATAACACACGGTTCTGTGGGGACTTTTTAAAAGCGGGATTACAAACAGGACAAAACATGTCCCAACTTGTTGTGGGCAATTATGCTAACTAGAAGGGGAAATAAGTTAAATATGCACTTTCATCAGCTTGATTTTTCTTTCAAGATAAAAAAGAAAAGCCCTGAAAGTTCTCATTGCATTTTAATTTCTAGGGAGTAGTTAAAAGTAAAATAATTGATAAAATTTCAAATTAAAAAAAAATTAAAAATAAAATGATATATTTTGCATGTAGCAAAAGATTGAATAGACGACCAAAGAGCAAGCCTTAATCCAATTTGGAAAGATTTTTAAGACGGAGTAAATCTCTAATTATGCTTTAAAACCGCGAAAAAAATTGACCGTTCATTGTCCCAAAAGGCAATCTTTAAACTCCCACAACTATACGAAAAATGATCACCACATGTTAAATATCTTCTTCAGATTTGTGCTTCTGACAACAATACATTTCACTTCCTGTCAAAAATTAAAAGTGGTACATTGTTTGGAGAAAAAAAAACGCCCCGAGCAGAAATATTACGTCATTTTTTTCGAAAGTCAGAACAAAAAATAGATGGGTATAAAAACAGATGATTCCTCCGTAATTGAGAGCTACAATTTCAACAGGATTTTGATGATCCCCGCATAGCAAATGAAAAAATACCGCAGCAAATCAGCAAACCTTATTAGACTCACAGAAAAACTTTAAATTCATTCGTAGACATGAGCAAAAATTATCTGGGCTCAACAGCTAGCAATTAGCTGACACTTTATTCCTGGATTTTAAGCAGTCAAACTGCACTGCCCTTGTAGGCAAACATTCAAATAGTATGCTACTATTCCAAATAAATTACCACCCGCAATTTAGCTCTGCAAACTGAAACAACTAAACAGTCAATTGATACCCAATTTCAATAAAATCTAATTCGAGAAGGATTTGAAACAGTATTTATCGAGGGTTTGCGGTTTCAATTTAAAGCCTGATTTGAAGCAATCACAGGCCCTGACACGTTGGCTTTTGAAACGTTGGAGGTATTGGTTTATAACTTAATTAAAGCCAACAATCAAACTTAATTTCTATTTCCTTCCTTGTTTATTGCAGTTAGTGAGTTGGTGGTCCTCACAGAAAACAAGCCAGCGTTTCAAAACTTTTCTAATATTGCTATTTTGTAAAATTTCTGTGAGCGAGAGCTCAAATGCTTACAAAACATTGCTCAATTTTGCAGCTTAGAAACTGCTGCAACCACGAAGTGCGAAGGAACTTTCTATTTGGAGTTTTACACGTCCGATGCGCTTGGCTGATATACCATACTAGAGGCCCAGCTAAAGCTGAAGGTACCCTGTTTTAAACTTTTAGAGTTGGGTTTCAGCCAGAAAATTAGTTGTTGCTCTTAAATAATAATGAAAATTTTCGTGATTTTGGAATTTTCCAAGAGACATTTTTTGTACAAATTTTAAGGCGCTGCATCTTATGCCCGGAGGCTTCTCACAACTTGTCGCCTCGATTAAACCCTTGATATCATATTGAGTTGTTTTCGACAAGAGTCAAAAAGTTTAAAAAATACGTACAAGAAACCAAAACAGTGACCTTTCCGAGGGTCATATTTTTTGTGCACGAAAATTCTGCATAACTGCTTATGCAAGGGAACTTCTCATAACCCATTCTACCCATTGAAACTAAAATTTCAGATTTGGAAGAATAGTTTTTGAGAGTAGTCAAAAAATTTAGAAAAATGATCAAAAAATCGAAAATTTGACTTTCCGAGGGTCATAACTTTTTGTGTAAAAATTTTTGTCGTAACCGCTTATGCAGGGGAGCTTTCCACGATCTGTTCTACCCATTGGAATCAAAACCTCAGCTTTGGGAGGGTAGTTTCCGAGAAAAGTCAAAAAGTTTGAAAAAACGGTAAAAAAATCGAAAATTAGACTTTTCTGAGGGATTTTTAGTGTAAGTAAATTTGGCGTAGCCGCTAATGCAGGGAGCTTCCCAAAACCTATTCTATCTATTGAATCCAAAATCTAAGATCTGGGAGGCCAGTTTTTGAGAACACAGTGTAGTGGGCGGACTTCCCATTGGTAACACTTTTTAGAAAACGATTGAATAATTTTTGAATAAATGAAAAATTTTTCCAAAAAATTAATAAGAAAACCCAATCCCAGATATTTTCAGAACACGTTTTCTGTCAAATTGGAATTTAAGTCCTTTCAGTCATATTTTGATTGATGTTTTCAACTTTCAAAAACAATTCTATATTGAGAAAAACTGATTTGTAATTTTCGGAAAAATTTGGCGTGAGATAGTTCACTTCTTATTGATTCATTTTAAGCATAGCTAATAAATTGTCTTCTTAATATTTATTAATGAAGCAATTGGTAGTTGTTTGAGCAAATTTTTTCCGACCATTTGAAAAATGGGGAGGAACTTAGTATTCGGGTGTTACAATTTTTTTTGTTTTCCACGCAAAATCAGGTACCACAAATATTCATGGGACTGGGTTAAGAGATATATCATATAAAAGCCTTTTCAGCCATGATTCGAACCCTCTTAAGAATTTCAAAAAATTTTCCCATTGTCGAGAAAAACCGGTTTGAAATTTTCGATTTATTTATCTTCATTCGAGCGAAAAAAAAACAAACGAGCAGGGTTACAACAGCTGAATTATGCCTAATTTAAGACCTTAAAACCTAATTTTAAGCAATTAAAACTAGTTTTTGGAGTTTTTAGCTTCATTTTGGGAACTTTTATTTTTTTTATTGTCATTTCTCTACAATTTTTTTTGTCCAATTGGCCTATATTACTATGACTGTCTAATATGCCTAAATTGTACATTTACATCAGATAACACCCAGCAGAAAAAACTACTTTTATTTGAAAAAAAAACTTTCAAAAACGTAGTTTTGTAAAGACCATGGTCGGAACATTCTGCGCTACTTGCACAGTAGCCGGCTGTCTTTGTTATTGCTTAGAATCTTTTATTAATTAGTTTGCTAATCAACTTATTTCTAGGATACAGAATAATACGTCAGTGGAGAAAAATGTGACCTAAGCTGTATATCGCGTAAAATTTTTTTTTAGAAATCTGCAAAAACATACAAAAAATTTACGTTATTGGTGTTCAAATTGAGATAACGCTATGAACCTTTATGTTGCTTGTCATAGAAAACATAGCCAGCAGACAATTGCAAAAAAAAATGATGAACAGAAGTCAACAAAAAAGAACTGATTTGTTTATTGAAAAAATTCCCAACTTTCGAATTTAAAAGAAATAAATAGATGACCGTAAAGCTCTCTGAATTTCTAGAACAAATTATGAGTGGCATTTTTTGATAAAAATTAACCCAATCTGAGAAAACTGGATCAATAACTAAAACTTCTATTTATCGCGACCAATATAAGAGTTTGAACAACGTTCCTAGACTCTTAAGAATTTGAAACCGATGTTTCCTTTCAAAAAATGATGTTTCCTTTTTCAGTCATCATCTGATTAATTTGGCTTGAAATACAAACTGATTTTGACAACGACCAATCTCGCACAACAAAAAAACCAAGGTTCCGTCAACTGTTGTGTAAAATGACATGGGACTTTAGATGTCGAGACGACAAGGCTGGTGGCAGTTGAACTGCAAAAGTTTTGCTGGTTAATGGAACACAAGCCACTGGTCTTCTTATCGATCTAGCCTCAAGATACCTCACTCTGCTGCGAACTATAAGCTTCAAATTCGTAAACCAGAGTTTGGTTCGCTTCCGAAAAACAATCGGATGAGCATCAAAGCTGGTATTGAACAACCCATGTCTATAAACTATGCATTGGTTACGCTGACATTCTTTGTGTGAGAGAAGTCTTGATAGGTTGCCTAATTGTGTCCTGCTATTCCATTTCACGCCACTTATTTCACTAAAATCGCAATTTTCAAAAAGGTTTCAAACTCGGGATATCAGGTGAATGAGTAGTCATTAATTTATCGCACAGAGGTGAACTGTACATCACATACCAGCGGCTGAAAGAAGCTCTATAGCTTCACACAAACGCATAAAGACATTACAAGAGATTAAACCTTAGAAAAAAAAATTCATGCATCGGGCCTCATAAGCACACACTGGACTATCACATCAGGATTGCCTTGCTTAAAACAGAAGCTAGCCTAATCAATTTAGCTTTAGTTAAGTTAATGCACTTTAGTTACAGGTTAGGTACACACTCAGTGATGTCGAGTTCAAAAAAAGCCAACTGACAGTTGCAAAAGAGTAATGAATGGAGTAGTGAAACTGATTAAGACAACTAGAGAATTATTTTCTAAAAAATAAATAAATGCATCTTCCGAACTTAAGACAGAAAATTATGGCCACACAGATTTTTGAACTAGTAAGATTGACAATTTTTTTATTAAAGTAATCCAACTTGAAAAAAAAACAGAATCAATACGTGAAAAAATTATTCCCCTGGAAAATCTAAGAATCCAAATCTACTTTCGAAACACTTGCGCTACAGTTCAAACATTGCGTTACAAAATATTGAAAACATTGAAAGAAGGAAATCATTCTTTCATTAAAAAAACCAAGCTAAAAATGAATTGAAAAAAGTCGAAAAAATTAGCTACAAAAATTTCATACCTTTGTCTCAGGCTGTGATCATAAACAGTCTAGCGAAAATTCACTAGCGAAACAATTAAGACCTTGCATTATAAGTCTTTTTTCAAAAAAATTAAGCTGAAAAAAATAAATTGAAAAAACTCCAAAAAAAATCTACTACAAAATTTCATATCTTTGTCTCAGAAGATGGTCATAAAAAACCTTACCAAGCAAGGAGAAACAATGACGGAGCGACAACTACGGCAAAAAAAAATTGGGTCGACCCTCGTTAAGCCGAAAACGAAAATAAAGCTATTCTAGCGATCATTTTTTTTCCATTTTGCTCCACGGCTAATCAAAACGTTTCTCCGTTTGTCGTCTTTTTGGAGAGAGGGGCGTAAAAATTTGGTCTTCTAATAAAACGTCAGACAAAACATCAGGAGTAGTAAATCTACAAATTACAGGATTAACTCAAAAACTTTTTCAGCTTCAATGAAAACTGCTTACAGCACAAGGAAATTTCGATGTAGCAACTAAACCGACAAAAAAGATTGTCCGAAAATAGTCAGACAAACGATAAGTCGACAAACTTTTTGAAAATGAAAACTTTTAGTACGATAAAAAAATCCTACCCAAACTCAAGCCTCAGAACTTTGCGTCCCAGGCGTAGTCGTATCGTATCTTCTATGCCAAATGTGTCGTTTAAGTCAATAAAATGATTTCAAATCAAGCAACTAAATGATTCAGTGATTCTATTACATTAGACGTTCACCCTAAAAAATCTATTTTCCTTACTAAAAACGCTTTATGATCGCAAGCGTTAAAAAATATCAACTAAAATCAATAAAACTTGATAATAGCTAAACGAAACTTTCAGACTGTGATATCTGCGTTTCTTTCTTGTCAATGAGAGGAAAATGAAGACAACAAAAAATGAAAAGTCAACAAAAAACTCTAATATTGCACAATTTATCCGTGAATTGAAAACGGCTTTTCCAAATTTCATCAACAAAACAAAAATAAAACTATTCTAGCAATAATATTTTACAGTCTAGCTATATTTTTTGGCTCATTGAAATTCAAATTTTTGTGATTGGTGTTTTTTAAAATTAAAATTAACTCAATTTGAGAAAAATGTATCAATAGGTAAATTAAAAACTCTGCTGGGAACACTGAAGACTAAAATCCACTCTCGAACTTAGAAATCGATCACTTTTTTGTGACTTTTATATTGTTACTGTTCGATAGTGGAGTTTGCCTTTTTTTCAAAAAGGAAATGAACTGAACTTTTAAAGAAATCAGAAGTCAAACCGAGAAATCAAAATTGAGAGTGAACAAATTCATGGAAAAAAAATCAGCAAGACCTATATGAGAGTCTTCATTACGTTCATAGCTGATAAACGTCTCATTATTCTTAAAAGTTAAAATCGCTCAAGAAAAATACAAAACATGATGGCATCAATTTAAATTTTTAGGAAAATAGCTAGGAGAAGTTTTCATTAGCAGTTTAAACTTTTCGGAAATTCCAGTAGTAGTAGTAGTAGAATAGACTTCAGATCGATAGCTCTAGGAGATTTCACTCTTTTACAGTCCAATAAAATTTTATCTGTTTCTCAGTTCGTTACATATATTGCAGCCTCGACATCTATAGAAGTTTACATATGCATTGTTTGGGTAGTTGTACCAATTCTTATAGAAATTCTGATATATATTAGCTAAGGTTGCTTTGTTTGAACTGCATTGATATTGCGACAGGCTTGAACGAGACAGATGAGCTGTTTTGGTCACCGACAAAATTTGTCTATTTTTCGTAGTCTGCGTTTTGATATTTAAAGTTCGACCCTGAAAATTGTCGAGTGATCGTGCTTTTCGATTTCCATGCTTCGAGGGATATGTTTGAGATCCATCAGCCTTACCGTGTAACTTTTATTTGACCCCAGAATCCAGCTCATTGCAATTTTTTGAAACCTTTCAAGTTGTTCCATATTTGCTCTACTAACGAACCATATTTGGGATGCATAAGTTACTCTCGGTACCACAAATCTTGTGTAGGCTTTTAACATGGTCGCACTGCTGCATTAATTTGCGAGACTTCGTTTGATTTGAAATAAAAGGCAAATGGCTTCAGTTGTTGTCCGTATAAAAACGGATCAAATGAACAATCCTCCCTAAAAAATCAGGAGGGAAATTGTTCACTTTTTCTACCAAGGAGATATTTCACATGGGTCAAAAAACTTTCAATTAACTGTACAACTGGTAATGTTTCAAATTGGCTCGTGCGTGGCCTCGTTTGAAATGTTGTCTATAACCAAAACCAAAACTTTCCCACTTGGCTTCAAAACAGCGAACCTAATTCTTTGAATTGATTAGCATCAATAGCTTCAAAAAACAAATGATGTACACAATTTAGTTGCATCGAGATAGAAAATGAAAAAGAGCGCATACAAACCCACTCGTGGTCAGAAAATGCATCGAAAGAACTAGTTCGATTATATAGTACAATAGCAGGCCACTTTAAAAATCGTCAAGTTACAAGTCAAAATCGATTTGCAATCTTGTAAAATAAATTGGCACAAAAAGTTACCTTGACAGAATCAAGCTGTTGTCTCGTGTTAAAATTTAGCCTTGATTATGCCAGTGCGCCTGCTATCATTTGCAATCGCTTGCCGTAGTTCTTTAAAGGATGCAAAGACGACTAGATTAAAATTTCAAACGAAAACTGTCACAATAAAGAGAAGAAACTAATATCTGCTAAACATGCTTCATGAAACAGTTAATCAATAATCCATTCAATTAAATACTAATTACTAAATCTAACAGTTTTCAGAAGTATGTTCGAGTTTTGGCAAATTTATTCTCGAAATATGGAAGCTTCACTAATGTTTGAGCTTCCGGCGTCCAAGAAAGCGTCAAGTTTGTTCACGACATCAATGCTGTTTTCATTCATCATCTCCGCAATCTAAACAGGTTCAACTGTTAACGACCTCAAGATCAAGATAAAACACAGAGGCAAAGCGGAGCAAAAACAAAAAAAACATGCCAGTGGTATTATGGCGAAAAAAAAACATTCCCAACAGACCGTTGGAAAAGTGTCATTCAAGGTAAGAAAACTGATAAAAAACTAGTGACTTAATTTTTGAAGTAACTTAATCTTCTGAATTTAATCATCATTTCGTGATTGCAAAGCGCAAGTTGGCTTCCTTTTGCCAAATGAACTATATGAAACAATCGGAAGGAAAACAACAGGACATTTAGAAATGGCTTAAGTGGATGATTGACACTTAAAAATTTGCTGTAGAAAACCACAATATTTTTGATACTATTTCAAGGGCAGGCACGAGCCAGCCATTTTCTAACACACTTATGATTCAATGAATGCCATTTGACAAGGTAAACCGTATGAATCACTTAAGAAACACACAGGCGAAGCGGAGCTTTTTAACACTTGCGAAAAAAATTGCACAACAAAACATTGAAAAACAATGAAAGATTGAAATTTTTTTTCATAAAAAATTAAGCTAAAAATTGCCTTGAGCGATGATCATAAACAGCCTTAACCAGCATGAAGAATCAATGACAGAGCGGCCACTAAGGCAAAAAATTGGGTCGACCCTCGTTAACCCCAAAACCAAACTAAAGACAAAAAATATTCAATTTTTACGACCTATCCCCCTCGTGAAAAGTCAAAAGCATTGAAAAAAACTTACCCGACAAATTGTGCAAGATAAGATGACTAGCGATATAATTAAAACATTGGATTACGAGATACTGAATAGAAAAAAAAGGAATTCAAAAAAATAAACTGAAAAAGGAGCAAAACATTCCATAAAATTTTATATATTTATCTCGGACGATACTCATGGACAGCTTTAACAAGCACTGAAAACCAACGACCGAACGGCAACTAAGGCAAAAAACTTGGGTCGATGCTTCTTATGCCGAAAGCGGAGCTGTAGGATCAAAAAAATTGGTAATACAAAAATAAGAAGGCATAATAAAAACAGGCAAAAAAATGTAAAAATTTAACGATTCATCCCTCCTGAAACAGACAAAAACATTTTCACTTGCAGCTGTGCATCATAAGTCTACTGAGGCGATACAACAAACGCCGAACCTGTTTAACAGAAAAAATACCGACGTGTTTTTTGAGAAAGTCTCAACTTTCGAATTTCCAAGAAAAAAATTGATGCGCTTAAAGCTCTTTGATTTCTCAAGCACTTGATGACTGCAACTTTTTTGATAAAATTAACCTAAATCGAGAAAAATGAATCAATAAAAAAGTTTCTACTTTCCATAGAAATTTGAAAAAATACCACTTTCGAAGCTAGAAGTCTATCACGACTTCGAGATCTATACAGTTTCGCAGTTCTTTTGACAAAGAAATGAACCAAACTTAAAAAAAAAATCAAAAGCCAAACCGCGAAAAAGGAAACTTGAGCCTGAACAAATTTAAGACTTATTCTGAAAAAATCATCGCGACCTTTATAAGGGTCTGAACTACGTTCATCGACTCTTAAACATGACCATCAGACAGTGTTGAAAGACAAGGAAACAGAAAAGAAAATTGGTAGAAAAAGTCTGTCTACTTTTCAACTTCCGAAAAAAACATATATCAAGTTGAAACTCTTTGAATTTCAAATATCTTTTATCCCATTTAGAGAAAACTGGATCCATAGGTAATTTATTTTATTCCACTGGGAATTCAAAAAATTGAAAACCATTTTTGAATGTGATAGTCATTCACGTTTCTCGTGACCTTTTCACTTTTGTTGTTCGATAGCAGAGCTTGCCTTCATTTAACAAAGGAAATGAAGTGAACTTTAAAAAAAATCAAACCGCGAAAAATCAACTTTGAGCATGAATATCCAAAAAAAATCATCGAGACATCAAACACTTAACAATCGAATCTGAGTAAACCTTATCAATAGCTACATTTCATCCATCTTGCTTTTCTCTTCAATCGAGTAGCTGGAGCGAAGCAAATTATAGCAATCGGACTGGAAAACCTAATTTCAAAATTGAACCCGAAAGATTATGCTGTACGCAGTGACGTGCGCAGAAGTTTTTAGGGGCGGGGCGGTTTCTCCAAATATGTTGAAAATTTAGCCGACCTTTTTTTATGTCGAACAATTTCATTTTCCGAGAGGCAAATTTAAAAAAAAAACAGGTTAAAAAAGGCGTTTTTAGGCACTTTTTCGAAAATTATGACCAAGAAATTGCGTTTTTTCGGCGCACGCTTCCCCCTCAAAATTATTCATTTGGCGCCAAAGGCGCCTTTAGAAAGATTTTGAGGTTGGTTAGCAAATAATGGATGTCGTAAAACTATAACTATACCAAAGGGGGGACCCTTTGGAAAAATTTGGCAACCAGAATTGAGGGGGGGGGGGGGGGGGGGTGTCACCCGCCTTTTCGCTCCCTCGGCACGCTACTGGCTGGCTGTAAGAAATTTCTAGCACTGATACTTTGGCTTCCAGATAGCCTTCAAATACTAAACGTTTTCTAAAAACCCAATTTTGAATTTCTGACATGCAATTCACTCAAAAGCTGAAACGTATCGTCAAAGCGATCCATTAAAAATGACCTGTGTTTGCAAAAAATTACCTCTCCGTCTAACTGCTTGGATAAAAATGAGTCATTCGAAGCTGTATCGAAGTGATGCAGATCTGTCAGGTGATTGGAGTGGCCGGGCAGAAAGCGCACTTGGGGCACCACAGTCAAACTCGCCGTCTGTTGTCTTTGGTGAGAGGAGCTCGGAGTAGCCAAAATTTCGTGAACTGGCGGTAGAAACCCACAAGTTGCATTAATAATATTCACATTACCAGTATTCACGCTTTTATGTTTTCCATTCGTATTCGCGTCATTCGGACAAATTTGTGTACTGCACATTAAAGGTTGCATATCCATACTAGTATCATTATTTGAAGCTTTAATGGTTCCTCCAACGCTCACATCGGCACATTTAAGAGCTATCTCAACGATGTCTTTTATCGAGTTATCGTCGCTCGATGCTAAAACCTGCTGTCTTTCCATGAACGGTTGCTGCATTCCTGGTTGAGGTTGATTCAACTCAATGAAATCGACCTTGTTTGTGACATCAATCGGTCTCAAACTAGCGGGATTTTGCGTCTGAACAGCTGGAAAGGCGTTCATAAATTGCCCATTGTTTCCGTTAGACCCAACTAAAGTAGTTCGTTGTCCGTTAGAATGATTTCCGAAAGTAATTTTGTCCATTTGACCGTTACTGTTCATCGATATGGATCCACTAATTTGGTTGAATAGCTTTGGAGCTAACTTCGGGACAGCAGTTCTAGCAATAACTGTCTGCTGCTGTGCTGTAACTGGTCTGAAAGAACTCTCAAGGTTCGGAAAGTTCTGTGAATTGGCAATATCTTGGCCATGACGTAACCTATTACGTAACCTGACTTTTCCACTTGACTGCAGCATCATGATATGGTCTTTCAGTTGCTTTTCTTCAACCGACCCTGGGACTGGATTAATACTTCCACTTCCCGATTGGGTTGTTTGCTCATTTGTTCCATTAGATTGCACTAGAGAGAGAGATTGCGGTTGTTGATTTGGACTCTTAGAAGAGCCGTTCATTACAGGAGTTTGGCTCCGTTTGGACTTCGATATTTGCATCCCGATGTTAACTATAGTCTGTAATTCACTTCCAACATCACTGGCATTCTGCGCCTGATTAGGTATGTCTAAATCTAAGAAGTACTCGAGCTGAATTATCGGACAGACGTTCAGCATCACGTGAAGTCTCGCGACGTTCAGATCCTCGCTGATGGAATCGGTCGAGAACCCACTCTTGAGCATACCAATGAAGTCATCAGCTCCACTTGAACTACGAATATACTGCTTCGAAGAGGTATCTAAATAAAGTTCGATGACGAAATTTTACACTCTATTACTAGATCTTCGATGATGTATATTATTATTTTGAATATTCAAGGAGCAATTTGAATATCTACAGGCGCTGAAATTTAAACTCCTTTCAGAGCAAACTTTGGAAACTACGATTATCACGAAAAATTTTCCTCACAGCACAACCAAGAGTTTTAAACGGAAATTAAACAGAGACAAAGCGAAGCTACGCAAATCTCATGATACAGAGAAAAAATAATCATAAATCTTTCAGAGCGAAAAAAAACACTTCTTGTTTGCTCCAAAACGCAATAACTGAAAACTGCATATAAAAAGGCTAGCAATTGATTACGTTTTGACCCTCTCGTTTGCTGAAAAACAATGCCACTAGTCGAGTGTAACAAAATCGAGATATTGCAACAATATCAATAAGTCTAAATATCAAACAGTCAAAAATCAAAACAAAAAAATATTCAACACAGAGGCGAAACCAGCTAAAAAACAAACTCAGGTTATTTTCAAATAAAGTTTTCCGAAGTCGATAACTTTGTGTAAAAACGTTTGTGTGTAGCAAATGGCGCAGCGGAACTTAGAAAACTCGTTCTAAGTATTGAAACCAAAATCTCAGATTTGAGAGGGTAGTTTTTCACAATCCAAAAATTATGGATATAAAATTCCCGCCACAGATTTTTTCAAAGGCTGTAGACAGAGGGTTTAAGTAAAAAGAGACTAGTGGAATATGCAAGGCAGACAACGGAGCAGGTGGTCTTTCCATTATTTTTCCTTTTTTTGAAAACAAAATTTGTTTTTGAGAAAACCTAAAAATTTTGCAAAAATTGAAACTTTCCAAAGCGTCTCAAGAAAAAACCCAATCCCACACATTTTCATAATACTTATTTCTATCAAACAGGAATTTTAAGCAAGCATGTCACGCAAGAAGTTTTTTGAATTAGCCCCGAAACTAAACCATCAAAGCGGAAACAAAGCCGACAAAGCGACAACCAATTGAGCAGGAAGCACACTGATTTTATGAAAAATTTCAAGTTTCAAGTCCCCCTTAAACGACAATGAACAACAACACTCGCACCTACCATGATACTATTAGCACAAGAAAAAATTGGTGATGTAGCAATTAAGTCGACAAAACTTGAGCAGACAAACTTAAGTACGAAAACTCAATTATTCAAAAGAGTAATGAACGCAAGTAAACAAAAAAAACAATACTTGTTAAAAAACCCGGCACTTTATGAAAAAATTAACCCAACTAGAAAAAACTGGATCAATAGGTAAAGTTTTAATTTCGCTGGAAATCGAAAAATCAAATTCCATTTTCGAAACTAGAAATTGTTCCACTTTTTTATTGTGCCATTTCCACGTTCGTATTTGGACAGCGCTAATTACGTAACTTTCAGCAGATGAATTTCAATTGAATTCAAAAAGTGCATATATACCTAACCGCATTCATAAATGCATTAAAATGTATGAATACACATCAGTAGTTATTAGAGCATTTAAAACTTTTTCCTAAAAAAAACTTCACCAAGACCTATACAAGAGTTTTCAACACGTTCATTACACTTAGTTATCGTTTTCTTTTAATTATTGTTGTGTCAAATGAAAGATCTGTTTTCACTGGTGGTTTAGAAAGATGCCTCAAATATGATGGAAAGATGACCATAGAGAAATAGAACAAACCTGACAAAATCAGAAAATTACTATAGAAAACTAAGGCAACAGATTTAAAACCCACACGCAAGAAGCCAAAAAATGAAGCTTACTATTAGGAAACGAAACTAGCAGAGCTTTAGTCGAAACGAGGAAGCTAAAAAATATATTTTCAAACTGCGGTCGCTACATATACAATTAATAGAAACCAAAATATAACACTCAAGGACTAAAATGATCTCTAGATGAAAGAACAAAATCTACGCCAACTAGAACAGAGAAATTAAAAAGCTTAAAAAAGATAGCCAATAGCAAACAGGACTCAAAACCAAGACCTTTCAAATAACAAGCAGATGCAAAACCTTTACACAAACTTGGCAAGTGCAAGACATGAAGTGATGTTTCATAAACATAGGCAACAGACAGTTTTAAAAGAGTCAAAACACGCAAGGAAACAGAAAAAAAAACTTCAACTTTCGAATTGCAAAGTAAAAATTCATGCCCTTAAAGCTCTTTGAAATCATGAACAAGTCATTGACAATTTTAACCCAATTTGGATCAATAGAAAAACGAAGTTGGATCAATAGGTAAACTATTTAATCCGCTGGGAAATCTGAAATTTAAATCCACTCTTGAAACTTAAAATTGATCATGATTTCGTGACCTTTATAATTTTGCTCTTCGATAATGAAGTTTCTTTCCTTTAACAAAATAAGTGAACTGAACTTCAAAAAAATCAAAAGTCAAACAGCAAAAAATCATATTTGAGCGTGAACATTTTTTAGTACTTTTCATGGATTTTTTTTTAAATGATCAAGAACTATATAGTAGTCTTCGCCACCTTCAGTGACTTTTAAAGATTCGAATTTCTTTAGTATTTGTTGCCACTTTGAATTGGGATTTGGATCCAAAAATCTAGAAAACATTTATCGGAAATTAATCCTAGATATACTTCGTTATCCCCCAGTACCACTCAAGGCAGGAACAACCATTGGGGAGGTGGATTTCATCCATTTCAGCGTAGCGGTTCGCACTTTTAGGAGGTGGATGACAGTGGTACTCCTCCAACAGTGACCGACGTGGGATTCGAAAACACCACCCTCAAGTTAAGAGACGCGTGCAATACCCACTCGGTCAATTCAGTAATGTCATGCTCTGTAACTGCATAACTATCAAAGTCTCTTTTCTTGAATAATATTCAAATTTAAGCTATTTACACTGCTTTCCCATTGACTTGTTGATAGCACTTATTTCAAAAAATTATCTCAATCAGAGAAAATTGGATCAATTACTGAAAATATTTAATCTGCTGGCAATTCAGAAAAATAAAACCCATTTTTTTAGAAACACGATTTTGATGACTACACTTTTCATCGGAAACAAACTTAAAAATCAATTCAAAGCGAGAAAAATCGATTTTGCCCGTCAACAAAGTTCAAGACTGTTTCCTGAAAAAATCATTACGACATATATGAGTGAAAATCACTTCGTTCTTATGCACTTATAAACTGGAACGTGAATAAGTTTAATTTTTCCCAAAAATCAAGGACCTCAATAAGTGCCTTCACTTCTTTCATTGACACTCAAACAATAAAGCGCTTGCCTTAACTTAAGTGAACACTTTTACTTGCGAGTTAGCTTAGGGAAAAAAAGAAAGTTCGTAACAATACACTAAGCTGACGCTAGTAATCAAATGGACAAAACTTACTAGTAGTTTTGAGTATTTAGATTTTGATATATCACAGAAACTCACTTTTTGCAGGTACCACGTAAATAATCTGAGGCCTGAATAGATCAGGCCCTCTCTGTATCACAGTTGAACTCTTGATAGGAGAAGTTTGCTGGCCATTCAAACTACTGCTTCTAGAAGTCGTATTAACAGGTTGGCTATTTAGGCTTGATGACTGTTCCTGTTTACATGATAAGAGGATATTCTTATTGGAAAGGACTGGCGGCGTTGAGTTTTCGGCTTCAGATTTCTGTATTGCTGGCGTCAATGCTTCAACAACGTTGAAATTTGTCCGATCTAAATGAAAGTTCGATCGAATTGAGAAACACTCATTTACATGATAATATCAATGCTGCCTTAGTTAGTACCTCCTTTAATTCAAGAACTAGCAAAGAATGAGCTTCTAACTCAAGAACGCTCTATCTGATTGAAATCACTAACCTTGCGGACTTTGTATTCTATTATGCTGTGCCTCAGAGCTTCCTTCTTTGTTCTCCAGTTTCGATTCCAACTCGACACTTCCCGATGCCACTATTTCTGTTGTAACCTCTTTCACACTTTGAGTATTACTTGACGCACTACAACTTCCCGCATTCGCTGTGATGGCATTTGCATAAGTAGTGCTACTGATACTTGTAGCTGCAGCTGAACCCTGCTCTAGTCCAATTCCCTGTGCCAGCATCTGTTCAGCCCCGTTGAAGGAGGGTGGGGTGTATACCTTGTCTGTCTCTTCCACAGAACTTACAGTTGTCAGGAGAAGCGGATGGAGGCGGCACATCAATGTCGGTTCTGTCACCAAAGGTCTGCACTGTTCTGCCACTTGACGGAACTGAAGTTAGTAACAAGTGTTGCCAGATACTGAAGTAGCGAGGAGTTAATTGATAACTACAAATTTCTCTTATGAAATCGTTAATTACGTTTTGATAAGCTCTGTACTTTGTTCTGTCTTCCACAAACTTCAAGACCGATTTGAAGCTCTTCGTAATTGGCACTGTTAACCTAAACACAAAATAAGGAGTCCAGTTTTGCTCAATTTTGAAACTCTATTTTGTCTTCGCTTTTCTGGGAAGATAATAATCCCAAAGCTTTCAAAAGTCTTTGACGGTTGAAACATGTTTCACATAGGAACAGCAGAAATTCCCGATACTTGTGTGCATAAAACACAATGCATTAAAAGATGCCAACTAGAAAAAGAAAAATTAAGATAAAAAATTATTACTCAGAACTTTAAAAAATTAAAACACTATCTACAAACCTAACCGATAGACAGTTGGAAGAGTCAATGAACGCAAGAAAACAGAAAAAAAAACTCGATGTAACCGGATTTGAGTTGCCGAAATTTCTGATTCAGGAATTGAGGCAAAATCAATTATGGTTACACATCTAAGATTTTTTCTGTTTTCTTGCGTTCATTGAATCCTCCAACTGCATGTTGGCTAAGTTTGTGGATACCTTTTTTGCTGCTTTTTTTTCAAGATATTTTGAGTAACTTTTTCAACTTAATTTTTCTTTTTCTATTCGCCATCTTGTAATTTATAACTGAGTCGGAAATTCGTTTTTAGTGCAAAGAGTAATGTTTTCCTTGACGGGAATAAAGCTTAAACAATTTGATGTGCGTTCTGTAATTTACAGCGGCTGCATAATACGCACATATTTTACGTTGGCTAGTAAAATCTTTGGCAAAATTCCGAAATTTTTAAATCGGATTCGGGAATTAGCCGAAAACTGCAGGAATTCCGGAACCGGATTCCGGTTCATCGCTTAAAATACTGTCTTGCTGCTTTGAAAATATCTCGGCTTTCGTAGAAAAAAATAGATGGCCTCAAACCTCTGAGCTTTTAGATAACAACTAACACTTTTTTGTTGAAATAAACCCAATTTGCAAAAGATCATAAGGTATTTCTTTATTTCGCTGTGGAAACGAATAACTAAAATCTATTTTCGAAATTGGAAGTAGATCACGAGCTCGCGGCCATTGCACTTTCCTTGTTCAATAGTGGACTTTATCTTCCTTTTAACATAGGAAATGAACAGAACTTGAAAAAAATTATCAGAAAATTTGAAGTCAAACCGCGAAAAAGTAAATTTGAGACTGAAGTACTACTATTTGCTAATGCGTTAATTGTCCGTTTTCCATTGTAGCGAGGTTAGATTGAGGCCTGCTGCTGATTTTTCTCTGAAACTAAAAAATGGGACAATATCCGTACATATGGTACCATGTAATCAAATCAAAATCTTTATTCAGCAGCAATTTCGTCCAGAAAGCTGCTTATCTAATCAATGATACACATATTGCGTCACTTTCACCGGACATTATGTCACCCATATAGCAGAACTGTTTGTCAAGGGTTTCAGATTGGTAGATCCGTAGAGCTGCATTCTGATTCGAGCAAAAATTGGAAGAATTAATGCATAAAAGAAATTAATGTAAGAAAACTCAAGTTTTTTTTTAAAAAACGAAGTTCAAAAAGTTGACTATCCGACGAAATCCTAACTATTTCTGCAACAAAACAGTTCGTGGCTGCTCAAGTAGAGAAGATTCCCTAAACCAAATTTCCCGATTGAACCTTTTACTTATCTGAGAATTGACACGAAAGTTTTCGAGTAAAGTCAAAAAGTTTCCAAAAACAGTCAAAGTTTCAAAACTTTAACTTGCTTAAAGACCATCACTTGTTTAAAAAAAGGCGTAGCCAATTATGAAGGTAGCCTTTGAACAACCTGTTGTTCTGATCAAACTTATGATATCAGATTCGACAGGATAGTTATCCAGAAGTCCAAAAACCGGTCAACAAATCAAAAATTCGACATTTCCGAGAAATATGCTTTTTCAAAAAAAAACATGGGCAGAGCAACACAAACAGAAGAATCGATTTATAAAATTTGTTTGTCAATTCAACCCAAAATATCAGATTTGGCGGGGTAGTTTTTGAGAACAGTCAAATAGTTTCAAAAAACGATCAGAAATCAAAATTTTGACTTTTCCGAGGGCTATAAATTTTGTGTTGAGAAATCTGGGCGTAGTTGCTTATGCAGAAGTTAATTTTTGACAAAACGTGAAACAGTTTCCAAAAAGAACAAAAATTTAAAAAAAAAAAAGAATTTTGCGGTGGCAATAGCTATTGAATTTAAAAAACTCAGCGTAACGCTAATGCAGAGGAGCTTTCCACGAGCCTTCATATGCATTGAAACCAAAACCTATATGTATTGAAACCAAAATATTTGAGATGTTAATTTATGAGAAAACAAAGAAAAATCAAAACATAGGCGCTACGCGCAATACACCGAAGGCATAGAAACTGAAGCAAAAACCAAACAACTTGAACAACTAATAATTGAAGAATAACAGTTCTAGAACAAAAAATCGTACTAATACATGTATACACCAAAATTTTGCTATATCGAGAAAGAGCCTGAAATAACAGTTCTAGAACTAAAAATCGTACTAACACATGTATAGGTTAAATTTTTGATATATCAACGAAGATCATAAAATAACACTTCTAGAACTAAAAATCGTACTAACACATGTATACACCAAAATTTTACTATATTGACAAAGGGCCTGAAATAACAGTTCGTGAGCTAAAAATCGTACGAACACATGTATACACCAAAATTTTGCTATATTGGCAAAGATCATGAAATAACAGTTCGAGAGCTAAAAATCGTACTAACACATGTATACGTCAAAATTTTGCTATATTGACAAAGATCATGGAATAACAGTTCTAGAGCTAAAAATCGTACTAACACATGTATACACCAAAATTTTGCTATATTGACAAAGATCATGGAATAACAGTTCGAGAACTAAAAATGGTACTAACACATGTATACAATAAAATTTTGATATATTGACAAAGATCATGAAATAACAGTTCGAGAACTAAAAATCGTAATAACACATGTATACACTAAAATTTTGATATATTGACATAGATCATAAAATAACAGTTCGAGAACTAAAAATGGTACTAACACATGTATACGCTAAAATATTGCTATATTGACGAAGAGCCTGAAATAACAATTCTAGAGCTAAAATTGTACTAACACATGTATACACCAATATTTTGCTATATCGACAAAGAGCCTGAATAAACGTTGTAGAACTAAAAATCTTACTAACACAAATAAATATATAAATAAAGATGAACAAATAAAGAAAAAAACATACGCAATCACGTGACATAGCGCGATATAGTCCAGCCCACATGATAATTGATAACTGTGGACGTTATTTGTCGACACTTGACAACAGACAACATTAAAAAAAAACCCGTTACACGATACCATAACACCTTGACTAAAGTCTTCGGTGTAAAAATATGGGCCCAATATTCGAAGACTGTATGTAGACATTACGGTGAAAATAAAATTTCGCAAAAAGTGAAAAAATTTTGCTGAGCGTCTGAAAAAATTAAAATTCTAACCCTACATTTTCATAATACCAGTGTTTATCAAATCTAGGCAGACCTACCAAGCAATACATTCAAATTTTGAGTCAGAAACGGAACGAAACTTACGAAGCAGAACAAATCCGGCAAACTTTGAGCAGACACTATTTGACCTGAAAAAATTATTAATTTTATGAAAACATTGTTTTCAAGTTTCAAGTACCCCTAAAACTCAACTCCCTCTGAAACTACAAAGACCGAGACTTACAACCACCACGATACCTGCTCGCAGCACCAGAAATCCGTGCTTAGGCACCTAAGTTGACAAAACTTGAGCGGACAAACGAAAGTCCGAAACTTAAATTTTTTTTCCGATTTTTTTCAAATTACATGCATACTGAAGGAATCTCGAAAATGAAGGAATCTGGAAATGGGAAGTACCCTGAAAGATGATAAGGTTCATTAACAATGAATAGTGAATTGCGGGATTAAGAACAAGCAAACTAGAGAGATTTGTAAGAAAAGTGGTTTACGGGAAAAGTTTAGTTCCCGATTACAAGACACTTGCTCTCGGAAGTGTAGTAAATACATCAAGCCGAAACTGTAAGCAGATTTACAATTACAGACTGAGTTATAAACTCCGGAATGAGAGGTCTCCATGAAATTGTGTCACGTGATTGTGTCCTCGATGAAAATATTTGAAGTTTCCGAGGGTCATAAACTTTTGTGCAAAAAAATTGGGCGTAGTCGCGTATGCAAAAGATTCCATCCAAACCAGTTCTTTGGATTGAACCAAAATCTCAGATATTGGAGGGTAGTTTTCGAGAAAAACAAAAGTTTGAAAAAGGGTCAAAAATTCAAAATTTGACTTTACCGATGGCGACAACTTTTTGTGTAAAAAAAAACATTTGTGAGTAGTCGCTAATGCACGGGGAGCTTCTCACAACCACCATTGAAACCACAATCTCAAATTAGGTTAGTTTTTGAGAAAAACAAAAGTTTGAAAAAAGGGTCAAAAATCTAAAATTTGACTTTACCGAGGGCGACAACTTTTTGTGTAAAAAAAAACATTAGTGAGTAGCCGCTAATGCACGGTGAGCTTCTCACGACCACCATTGAAACCACAATCTCAAATTAGGAGGTTAGTTTTGAGAAAAGTCGAAAAGATTTTTGAAAATGGGCAAAAAATGAAAAAATTGACTATTCCGAGGGACACAACTTTATGAGTAAAAAATTTGGGCGATACCACTTTTTCGAAGGAGCTTTTTAAATCATTTCTATTCACTGAAACCAAAATTTAAAAAAGTGGGTCAAACCTTATTCCCACAAATATTCACCACTCAACGGAAATAGGCGGTTATTTTTAAACATCGGTAGAGTATTTTTTTGAGTTGCCCAAACTATTAAAATTTCAAAGCGTTTTAATAAAAAAAAAAGAAATAAAAAAATCCAGTGTTATACATTTTCATAACTGTTTTTTATCAAACAGGAATTCTAGTAAACATACCAAGCAAAAAATTTGAATTTTAAATTAGCAACGGAACAAAATTTTGGAAGCGGAAACAAAGCTGACAATATTTGAGCAGACACCAGTTGAGCCGAAAAAAAAAGATTTTACAAAAGTTTTAAGAACAACACTTGAAACAACTGTAATAGTACAATCACAAAAAAAACGGTGATGTGGCAATTAAGCCACCAAAACTTGAGAGTAAAAACGATACTTCAGAGTACAAATATATATATATATATATATTTGTCTTTGGGTTCTTCAGGAATTATGTATTCGTAGTTTTCAGCGCATTTTGTTTTTCCTGTCATATATATATATATATATATATATATATATATATATATATATATATATGACAGGAAAAACAAAATGCGCTGAAAACTACGAATACATAATTCCTGAAGAACCCAAAGACATGGTTCCTCTCTACGTTCAGTGGCCGGAACAAAAAAATTCACTACACTGCGTTCATTTTCACTGAAAATCAAATCGTACTATAGCGCCATGTAACATTTTTTAATATGTAAGAACATGCTTTAACACATTCTTGTACAACTAACTGACTAATGCAACGCCGAATCAAAAAACTGAGACTAACCTAATAAACGGGTTTTCTATTTTGCTATCACGGAGAAGATTCAACTCATGTGCATTCTGCGGAGTGAATTCGAAAGTGACACTTTGAGGTAGTTGTACAAAAGAGTAGACGTCTCTGTTTTCTGCAACATTCAAAATTTTATTACTGGTGTTTATAATCATCATTCGAGTTAATTGTTCTTCATTCAAAACAGTTTAACTTACTGGTGAACCGCTTAACTACCGGACACATCGGAGTTTTCAGTCGTACCATTCTGCCAGGCAACTTCAAAACTGAAAACCTGGAAGACAAAATTATCGAACAATAATTTTTAAAAGCTATTTTGTTCATTAAAAAAATACTTATAACTAATGCCGTAATGCTAACTAACCCTTTGTGAATCATTTCATTCAAGTTTTCTGCAGATCGTTTGTTCAATTCACGATGTGTTTTTCTTAAAATTTCGCCGTAGTTGACAAGAGCCAGGACTTCCATGTACCGTTTCCGAATTCCTAAATCAATGATATGACGCAACTGAACCTTCACTAGGTTGAAAACAATTATGCAACACAGAGGCCAGAACACGACAAGAAAGCAGCTCTAGAGTTCTGAAAAGTGCAATAAGAAACAGTAAAAATAAGCCTAGAATTAGTAAAAAATTCTGCGACGTCTCGGACGCGAACCTACGACCTAGAAACTACGAGTCTCACGCACTAACCACTCAGCCAGGGACGCTTAGTCCATCATCATGAAATCGTGATTATAGCAAAAAGGGACAGAAGTAAACTTTTAATGATTACTTTTATTTCTGAGTTGGGTTAGACAAAAAAGAAGGTTTTTACTAAAACACTAGCTGCTCACTAGCGTAATTATGTTGAAAACGATGGAAACTGCTGAAAAAATAGCTCTAAATTTGTTCATAACATAACTATGCACAACTGTCAAAATATCTAAAAACACCATTTCTTGATAAACGTGACTTCTCTATGAAGCAATTTTCAGCACTGAACAGCTCCTCTCCCATCCCCCGTTTCATTATTCTCATTGAAAAAATATTTCTGGGAATAAAAAAACGCACCACACTCCAATTTGATCTGTGGGAATGATATGATTCTCTTGATTGATCTCGTGAAGAAGTAGCGACATTGACCCGTATCTCTGTTGTTGATTTCCGGCTTGTTTTTTGACTTCTGCTCGAACAGTTTGGCAATTTTGTCGAAACAACGTCCATTCTGAACAAACGATAAAATGCATTACAAATAGTGCCAAATTTACATTATTAAATAAACAACTAATAAATAATTTAGTTTTTGCCTCGAAGGGTATTTCTAAAGATGGGGTATACCAAGCCAGTTTAGGGGAATACTCATTCAACATGATTCTATTCAAACACTTAGTTACCTTTTTAAATTTATTATACCATTCAGAAACACTTCTACTTTGTTTCTTTAAGAACCCCCGTTTTATCTAAGTATACTGACTTCTCTAAGTCCTTCGAAGAACACAATTTTCTCGGCCAATGTCCACTTCTTGTGAGCTAGATTTCTCCTTGCGGCCCCAGGGCTGTTCAAGGACCCCTTTTCTGTAAAATAATCAAAACTACAATAGCACAACTTATATTTCATTCAGCGTAGATACTCAAGCACATTCACACACACCCTACATGGATAAAAAACACGTTTACATAAGTAAACAAGCTTAAACTGATTTTCTTGAAGATATTATCATATCTATCTCATTTTAGCAATATCTGCTCGTTACGAAATTCGCGAAAACATGACCAAAAAAAAGAAAACGCGACCACATCTCACTCCTATCACCATGCCGTGTCTCAATTTATTTATGTGAGGTCTCTGAAGGTTGCTCTGAGTATTACTGAGTTTGTTATTTAGTCGCTTTCCAAATGACGAGGAAATTTCTATGCCCGAGAGATATATCGGATGTCGTTCAGTTCGCAGGTCGGTATTCCTCTTGAAAGCTCAAAGGACAGAGAAAGCCGTTAAAACGCAAACAAAATTTATAGCGCTTTCACTAAATTCTTGATTATTCTTCACCGATGACTCAGTGAAGGTTAAAATATACATGATAACTCAAACAAAGCAGATACTCAAAACCAAAATTTAACACTTAACTGCTGATAAATTACACAAATTTAAGTTAAATTTAACATTTCTGTTAAATTTGAAGCGCTTCAAGGTAACACTATAAGGACCAGGGCTTGGGGGAAAAATCATTTAGAAAAAAATTATTGTAGTTAATTGGAAATAAATCTTAATTGTTCCGACCCTTTGAAAAAAGCGGAGAAACTTTGTATTCAGGTGTGATTTAGTTTGTTTCTTTTTCTTTTCCACACAAAAACAGGTACCACATAAAATCATCGGAATGGGTCGAGTTATATATCATATTACAGCCCTTTCAGCCGTGATTGGAACGACCTTCAAAGTGTCGAAAAAAAAAGGTCCGAAATTTTCGATTTTTGGCCTAATTTCTGGCTGATAAGTCAGCTTGCAGGCTTAGAATAGCTTATTTAAGCTTAATTTTAGCCGTGAAAACTTATGCATAATCTTCCATTAAGACAAGGGCTTTAAGACAGTATACAAAGACGGTATGCGTAAACTCCCATTAAGACAATGGATTTGTTTTCTGATTATGAATTCAATGTCACAGGTTAAATTTTCAAGGCAAGATCGGCGTGTCTAGTGTTTGGCGAATAGGAAAGGTTCAAAAGAGCGCGTTTATTTTGATGAGCACATAAGTTTAAATTCTACCGAAAAGCTCTCAGTAATGCTGTTATTAAGATGTATGTCATCTCTTAACGCAAGATTGAGTTTTTTTAGATATTCATAAAAACCGCCACCTCTGGATTATTTGTTCGACCTATCTTGTCTGAAAACTGATAACTCGGTTCAATCATCAATTAGTTTGAGGGAAAATCGGGTGTGAGATTGTATTTTCCCCAGATAGTTTCAAGAAACTTTCGATGCTTTTGATTTTCCCCGCTTATGCTTCGAACGTTTAGATGAACTAATTTCATAAATGTCAAATTTTGTTTTAGTTTTGTTTCGGAATAACTTAGAATGGGTCCAGGAATGTCTTTCTTATATGAATGTTGCGATAAACTTATTGAATAGTTTCAGTTAAAAATGAATACAAGGGGCAGCCGTGGTGGCCCCAGTAGTCAATGTTGAATTGTTGAAAAGTTTGATCACGACGATATTTTCTGGATTACTTATCACTGGACACTGGGTGGAACTACACTCTGGGCGGCTCCCGACTTACTGTGTTCACCATCCCAATTCCCAATCAGCTGAGTTCATTCCAAATTTGTTTATTTATTTTTCTTAGTCTCTATACCTTATGATCAAAATAGTAGGTGCAAGTTCTCTTTACCATTCCATCAATAAACTTGAACAATCGGAACAAGATAAGCTTGCTGATCCTGTTCACTCTTTCCCTGGACTGAGCCTTGACCCTAGCACGTCATATTACTGCCTCGATTACCTTACATCAACCCCTCTCAGGAACTGCAAAATTGTTCTCTGGCACGATTTATTAAACAACACAATAACATCGCACCCGAAAAAAGGCAACATACCCCAAACAATCGAAGAACTGATTGCGACCCTTAAGACTATTCCAAACCTCTTTTGCATCGTTACCTGTCAACGCAAAGGTGCTCTCTACAATTCGACGATCTTCTTAATTCATTAGACAGTTACGTCATTGACGTGACCAAGCACATTTTCAGTGCTTCCGAAAAAATTGACGAATCGTTTATTGCCGAATACCGAAAACTGCACCAGGCTGCTGACATAGAGTCGAGGACTCTAGCTACTGTGCTGCACTATTTTCCCGACTTCAATAGAATCTTCAAAACACGCGGCGCGAAGCGTCGAACGGCTGGCGAGAAGCTAAACGGCGAAAATTCTAAACAGGTACGCAAATCTGAGTCTTAAACCTTAATATCTCAACAGGCTTGCTCATCGAGTCTCTGGCTCTGAGCCCCTTTTAAGATTTTAAGATGTCTAAACATAACACCCGAAATCGGGTCAAGTCAGTCTCTGATTCTTGTAGTACGTGCTGCGAGAAAATCCTTAAAAATGAAAGCTCTTTCGACTGATTTTGCTGTGGTTGTCGAATGCACCTGAATGAAGACTGCACTGGTCTAGGTGAAGCCGCTGTCAATGGAGTACCAACATTAGGAAAAAATGATCTATTGATATGCAACAAATGCGTTGAAGAAAAACGTCAAGATAATTTGACCCAGGCTGCCCATGAAACTACAACCTCAAAAGAACTTCGAGAAACTCAAATGAAAACCCTGGAAAACGAAATGACTGACGTCAAAAAAACAGTGACCGAAATCAAAACGCTGCTAACCACAAAACAACCTGATTCAGATTATCCAACCCAACCTAGCTCAATTGCCAGTCGCCAAAAACCGCCACCGAAACCCGCCGAGGAACTCGATGGAATTCGCATACGAGGAATCCCTGAATCAACGGAGAAGGAAGCAAGGTTGCGCCAAGAACACGATCTCGCCGAAGTTCAAAAAGTCTTGACCCATATGGATGTCAATGCCTCAATTGGCGATGTCATACGCCTGGGTCGATATGACGAGAACAAGACAAGAACAACCCTATTAAAAGTGCCCAATGCATACCAACGACGAATGATATTGCTATCTGCGAGGAAACTGAAAAACTCCCCTCAACCATTTTTCCTCAGCCGACAACTGACGAAGTAAGAAGCTGATCAAGAAAACCTTGCCCTCGTCAGAAGAAGGCAACTTATCAGCGACAAATCTGTAGACAGAAAGGACATAAGAGTCCACAATGCAACTCTGTACATTCGGAAAGGTGGAAAGTGGATAGAAACTCCCAGATCCCGAAGCACCCAATTGACTAGCAGCGACGATGAATATCCTTTTTTACAATGTCAGAAGTATTCTTGAGTATCAACGGCGGACAACCTTCTCTAATGCTGTCCAAGTAAAAACGCTTATCAAGTCATCTGCCTAACTGAAACCTGGTTGACAGAAAGCATCGGCGACGCTGCACTTTTTCTGACATACTATGTTATCCACCGAAATGACAGACCGAGTGACAAAGGCTTGACAAAACATGGTGGCGTACTCATAGCAGTAAACCGTAACATTCCAAGTAGCCAAATCAATTCCGCGTTTCAAGATTGTGTTATCATCCGCATATCCCTGAACAAGCCGATTTTAATATGCTGCATCTACAGCTCTCCTTCAAACAGTACCTACACATGGGACATCTCAGATCTAATCGAACTCCTAAAGTTCCTGAGGCGTAAGCAATTCGAACAAAGTGCAATTTGTTCGTATATAGTTGGAGATATAAATTTTAACTGTACACACTGGCCTTCAAGGACTTCAACTTCTCTAGATGAGCAGTCAATCCTTGACGAACTCTGTGAGTCAAACTTCCAACAACTAATAAAAACCCCAGATGGAAAATCACTAGACGTTCTCCTTAGTAACAAACCGCAATTTGTCACCAGCGTAAAACATGACAACCGTCTGAGAAGTTTATTCAGTTCCGACTATTTGCCACTCCATACCAAAGTCTCATTTGATTACCGACCTGTTCATAAAAAGACACCAGCCATCAAACAAAAACAAGTAAGCAAACAAGTAAGCGTACAAGAAAGCAAACTGGGAAGAACTGAATGAATTCATTCGTCAACACCCCTTCCAACCATTTTGCTTGAGCAACGTTGAGCTGATGCTCGATCATTGGTATGAGTGGTTATACGAAATACTACAGGACCTGCTACCTATCACTACAAAACACAGGTCTGAACTAGCTCCTTGGGTGGGAAGCGATTCCTACAACCTTATAAAAAAATTAAATACTCCAACTTAAAAATCAGCGAAAACCTACCCCATCGAACGAAGGCAAAATTGAAAATCTGCAAACTGAACTAACACTGTCCCTTCAAAATGACCAGCATCTCCACGAAAAAATGCTTTTTGAGAATGGGAAATTCAGCGAAATACAACGATATCTGAAATCAATCACCAAGTCTCGCATGATCCCTTCAGAGATCTTCCTAAATCAAAAAATAGCCAATACAGACGCTCAAAAAGCTGAATTGTTTAACATATATTTTCAATCAGTTTTCACACGAAACGCCAACGTTGAGAAAGCAGAACGACAAGATAACGTTCTTCTAAACAGTATCAATTTCACTATCGATAAAATAACTTAACCTGAACGAGCTGCACGTAAATAAGGCAAATGGACCAGACATGATTGCTAATACTCTTCTGAAAAACCTCTCAAAGTCACTACCAAAATCACTTCACTTACTATTCAACTTGATTGCAAGTAAAGAGATATTTCCAACAAAATGGAAGATCAGCGAAATCGCACCAATTTTCAAAGACTGGTATAAACAAGACGTATCAAATTACAGGCCGATCAGCCTGCTCTCAGCAGTGTCAAAACTGCTTGAGAAACTAATATTTGAGAAACTGGCCCCAATTGTCTACCCAACCCTAACACCAGACCAACACGGTTTTAGACCTAAACGATCGACGATAACAAACCTAATAGAGTATCTTTAGCTGCCTAGATTTGCCAAACTGCAACTACCTGAACACCTTCTACTTGGACTTTGAAAAGGCTTTTGACAAAGTCTCGCACGGAATCCTCATGGAGAAATTATCGACTTCTGGAATTGGAGGAAATTGTTTATCTCTGATACACAGCTACCTCTCGAACCGGAAGCAAACAGTGAGGCTGAATGACACAATTTGCGGAGAGCTGGAAGTCTTCAGCGGCGATCCCCAGGGCTCTATACTCGGGCCGCTTCTTTTCCAAGCCTTCATAAATGATCTACCGTCCTGTGTCATGTCCGCAACATTTGTTTATGCAGACGACTACAAAATTGTTGGAGACAACCCTTTAACTCTCAACATAGATGTTAGGAGACTTTGGAGGTGGTGCGAGGAAAACTGCCTATGAACCTGACGAAAAGCAAAGTCCTGTATCAAAGGATCAGCTACAATTGCACTTCCCAATTACAGCTTCGAAACCACTGAAGTAATGAAAGATCTGGGCATCCTGATAACCGACACGCTCTCTTGGACGCAACACGCAAAAAAAGAGGGCAGAAAAAGCCTTAAACGCTCTCTTCGTACTCAAAAGGAATCTCTCAAAGGCGAATTTTGCGACCAGAAAAAATGCATATATCTGTTACGTTGTGTCAATTCTGTGCTACGGTTCAGCTATCTGGAAACCATCAAAACGTGACTTAGGAATCATAGAAAGTGTGCAGCGGAAAGCGATCTCGTGGATTGTCATGACAAGCAATAGCCATATCTCCTATAAAGACAAACTCGTGAAACTTAACATCCTTCCTTTGTCTCTATACCAAGAGCTTCATGTTGGACTGCTGTTTGCAAAAATACTAGCTGGAAAAGTTGACATCGACTGGCGAAGCCATGTAAGCATCACTGACGTTGGAAACCGAAGAGCTCAAATGACACGAAATTTCGTCTGCAAACAGATGCGTCTGAAGAAGTGCGACTCGGATTTCTGGCATGTCGTCTTGCTAATCTGTACAACGAATACTTCAAATGTGACTTTTATTATTATTTTTATTATAGAATGTTTTCTTAGAACTCGAAAAAAGTAGGGCGTGAAAGCAAATACTGCTGTAGTTTTTGTTTCTTGTTAAGTCGATGTGATTCTCCGGCGTTTCCCTTTTTCACTTCCCTTCCCCTGCGCTCAAACCGATTCGACTTTCAATCGATATGCGAACCATCAATAGCCCATGACTCACATTGCAGCTCTCACGGAATAAATTTCATTCCTATTGCGGTGGAGGCACTACATTTGCACTACGTCACTTGGTATGCCTGAAGAGCTCAAGGAGTCCCCGCACAAGTTAACACCGAAATCCTCTCGGCGAGCTTATGCAAGCTCTTTCAGTGGAACTCATCGAGCTCATGCAAGCTTTTTCTGTGGAATTCATAAGAGGAAACGCAACCCTCATAATAAACAGAGCAACTTAGTGACTTAGCCTTAACAATACCCATTTGCTAAACAGAGCGGATTAGTGATATCTGTGAACTGTGCTTGAAGAGACTTGCTTTTACGCATTTCGTCAGATTTGAACATAATCGATCAAATCGTGCTTTAAATTTTTATTTTTGATATGCGCACCTGTTTTGTCGTCGCTTAAGGCACTCGCTTCAACGGCACAAGGGCTCTGGTCAACAGGAATATTTTTTGCCAGCAACTTTGTCGGGCTGCAGTCTTTACGAAGTCTTTTAGGTCGACTGCATATGTTCGATGTCTCCATCCCTGATAAGCTACTCTTTCGTCATGGAAGCCTGAAAAATTCATAAGCCACATATTTGTTAAAAAGATCCCTGAAAAACTAACACGTTAAAGTTGGAAAAGGTGGTTCGCTATTTGGATTGATCAAAAACTGAACAGTGATAACGAACCCGATTTTAAAGGATAATTGAGTTTTTAATTTTTCCGGAAAAATTATTTACAATTGCAGTTCCTATATAAGCAAGAGTGGGCAAACTTCTCTTTGTGGCCTAAAAACGGTTATTTTTACAAAGTTCATGAGCCTGAAAACGATCGGATTGGCTACAAACGTAGCTAGGTCTGAAACCACGGTAACTAGTGTTCATTAACTTGTTACATGTTCTTTCTACTTCTTTTGAAGAAGAAGAAAGAACACCTGAATTACTATACAGTAAAAAGCCGAGGCATCAGTATAGCAAAGTGTAAATAATAAAGTTGGTTAAAATTCATTGGTTACATCAAACAAAAACACAACATCAGAAAACAAGCAATAAACAAAACAAAACAAAACAAAACAAGTTCGGTTACAGTTCAGAAATTGGTTGATTAAAATATATGAAGTTACGGATACTAAAAAAACATCAGTTTTAAGAATTAAGAACGAGCTGGTATCAAAACTTTACAAACGATTTTATAGATAGTCCAAACATACAGCGTATATACAGAGTATATACAGATTCTCTTTCAAAAAATGTCTGGAAAATTAAACTAAATTAAAACATATAGAACTAGCAAAAACGGAAATCACGCCACGTATTTGTATTTGTACATATTGGATTGTTTCTCAATTCACTCACGTAAAATTCTTTCAATTTTTTCTTGAATCCTGTTCTCGATTTTTCTAAATTGCGCAAAATTATGGGCAGTGAATTCCATTTTTTAGAAGTCAAATGAAAAAATGATTTTTGTAGAGAAGCGGTTGAACAATGTTTGTCAAAAATAATTTGTTTCGTTCTTTTATTGAGCCTATAATTGGCAGTCGGTAGTCTCAATGTATTTTGAAAAGCCTTCTTTGTTTGTAAGATATTGGTATAAGTATGTTATACACTTTAATTCAATTCTTTTCTCGATTCCAATGAACGATTTGCTAATGCGAAGAAGGGAAGAAGATATAAATTTCGATCTGAAATATGTTCTTTTTAACGCCCAGTTCAACTGTTTCTTTAGAGATAGCATCAAAGTAGCATTAATTTGTTGTAAAAATATTACTGAGTAATCTAAATGTGATAAAACAAGACAATGAAGCGAGGCAACTAATGATAATGTCGGCAGTTGTTGTCCAATTGTATCTATAGTTTTAATTCCTTGTGCCTTTTTTGGAGAATTGTTTTAATTTGAGCATGAAAAGATAAACTTGAATCAAGAATAAGGCCTAAATATTTGCATTCTGATTTTTTGGCTACATAATGCCCATTATTTACTATTGTATCAGTATCTACGTTTTTGCTATCATTTTTTTGACAAAATGTTATAAATTCAGATTTAGATGCATTCAGATTCAATTGGTTCTCTGCAAAAAATTCCGTTAGATTATTAAGTGATTTTTGCAATCGTTTCAAAGCATCCTCAGAAATTATAGAAGAGGAAAAAACCATACAGTCGTCAGCATATTGAACTAAAGTACAACCTTCATATAATCGCTCTTATATGTCATTAACATATAAATTGAACAACAACGGACCAAGTACCGTTCCTTGTGGGACACTTCGTTTGATTTCAATCCAGTCTGAAAAGATTCCATTGACGTTTACTCTTTGAATACGTTTGTTTAGGAAGCTAGCAATTAAAGCATTTGCTCCATTTGAAAAACCGAGAGAAAGCATTTTTTCAATTAAAACTTCATGCGAAATAGAATCAAAAGCCTTGGACAGATCTAATAAAGCTGCATGTACGATTTTTTTTGCATCTATTTGATTTCGAATACTTTCTGTCACATAAACAAGAGCATCTTGTGTTGAAATATTTTTGCGAAATCCGAATTGAAATGATGTCATTATTTGAAATTTGTCAAGATATTCTGTTATTTGGGCATGTAAAATTTTTTCAAAAATTTTAGAAAAAGCACAAGTTATTGATATTGGCCGATAATTTTTTGCATCCATTGGGTCATCTTTTTTAAACAAAGGAGTTACGTGTGCTTTTTTCAGTTCGATCGGGAAAATGTTCTCATCTAAGCAACTATTTATGACAAAAGTTAAATGTGGAACTATAACTGATTGACCAAGCAGGTAGGGTACAAGGTTCGAGAGGTTTTCTAACATTGATTTTTCGAACCATATCAAAGCATTGCTTCACTGTAATGTGTTGAAAATGGAAAGGTGCAGATTCAGAGGCAGATTTGTTGTAATTCGGAGGCTTTTTAGCGCCGAAAAATTCGCCTAAGTTCGAAAAAATATAATTTAAATGATTGGCAATTTTTTTGTCTTGGGTTATCATTTCACTGAAGGAATTTCGTAGAACTGTAATTCGATTGTTGCCAGAACATGTACCTCTAACTTGGTTAATATATTTCCATTTTTGTTGGATAGTGCTGAGAAGTGAAAAACTATTTTTTGAGTGATCGAGTTGTTTACTTCTAATCAATTGGCTCATTTGATTACGTAAAAACTGGTACTTTGACCAATTATCGCTTGTGCTTTGACTGCGATATGATTTGAGTGAATTCTGTTTCTTATTCAACAATTGCTGACATTCTGAATCGAACCATTCCGTTTTCAATACATTTTTTGGTTTAAATTACGAACAATTTTTTTTCGATAGGAGCATGTTGCTGAAGGGCACTCGAAATTAAATAAATCGTCGTCGAGAACATGTTTTGTGCGTCTGTACATTGATATAAGAGATACCAAGGAAGAGCGGAGAGTGTATTGCAAAATTCATTTTTCTGATAATTTTCTTATTGAAAGTCGAAATTAACCTCGGTAAACTTTTGCCGCATTTTATGTCCGTCAAAATAAATGAAGCAAAATGGTCGGTTTTATAAGGTGTATCAAAACAAAATTCAATGCCGTTTGTTTCATAGTCACTGATAACGTAGTCGATATGAGTTTTAGTTGAGGAACTAATTCTGGTCTCATCGTTTGGACAAAAAACCTTCAATCCATATGGAATAATTATAGAATCTAAATTTTGTTTTTCTTTGCTATCCAGATAATTTATGTTATAATCACCCAGAAGCGTAATTTTATTAGAAACTGAAAATGCATTATCTATGTTAAGGTTTAATTGTTCCAAAAAATCAATAAAGTTTGATCTGCTTGGATTATAACACAAATTAACTAACATTTTTTCTTTACTGGAAATGTTAAATGTAGATTTGCACTCAACCCATACTGACTCAAATTTTTCTTTATCAAATAAATTTAAATCAGGCCTCAATTTCGGAGCCAATTTGACTGGTATATTTAACAAAATGCCACCGCCTTTCTTTTTTACCGCTGATTGCCTATCATATCTGAACATCGCATGCGTTCTAGGGTGGAGATTCCATAAATTGTCACCATCTTCTTTTTTAAGCCACGTTTCGGAAATTCCTATAATTGTATTTTCGCCCATATCATCAAGAAATTTTTTCAATTGCATCCGGTTTCTAATAATACTTTGAAAATTCAATTGAACAAATTTAAGATTTGCACAATTTTTTGAGCAGATGCCGTAGACTGTTTCAATGGTTTCAATAGGAACAGGGTTTTTTTCAACATCCCCACTTTGGGTTAGTAACAACGCAAAAGGAAAAGATGAGTCAGTGTGGTAGCTCTCCGCTCATTTATCCCACATTTCGATGATAATATCTTTTGATGGCAGCTTAGATAGCCCCAGTAAACAATGGTTTTTTCTATATTTTCCATCTGAGCCTTGGAAATTAGAAAAATTGCACAAAACAACCAAAATTTAATATTCAGCATAATAAATTAAATAAATTAAATAATCGCCAAAATTTGCACCAAGAAAAATGCGAAACTAGTATTTCCTAAAGAATTTTGCACCGTTTTGGAAAAATTGTATCATTTCTGCCGTTTTTGGATCTAAATTTGATGATTGTTGGGTTTGCTTCATTCTGGGGCGGGTTGTAATCTCACATGTGTTTGCATTAATATCAGAACCTCTAAAAGAATCTCTAAAACTTTGCACCAAAATTTCAACACCCCCATCAGAAGGATGCAAACCATCCGAGCTAAGCGCATCGGTATTTTGACTAAAATTTTTGTTTATGTCTGAAATATCCAATTTTACTTCGCCCAAGTCCTTTACATTCCGTACTAAATTAAGAATTTGCTTGTTTAGCTTCTGTACATTTGGATTAAAATCTTTTCTAAAAGCGCCTAGGGGAGTTACAGTACATAGTGAAATTGTTTCTGGGGAGAATTTATGATTTACGAGATAAATTAGTTTTTCTAAGCTACTCACGGCTTCCTTCGCGTCGAAATCATTTGAGAGGCAGTCATTTATTCCAATTAGCGTAGTTACATGTTTAAAATGTCGCGATTTACTGTTTCTCACGCGTTCCAGCAATGCAAAAATTTTGTGCCCACCAAATCCTCTCGCCAACACATTTTCCGATATTTGTTCACCATTGATTTTGTTAACAATTGAGTCTCCCAGTAATAGGCCAGAATATTCTCCTTCTCGTGGTAAATTTTTTCGTTGTTGGTCGAATTTTTCTTCTTGAATATTGGTTGCTTGTATTTTGATTTCTTGGTTATTCTTGCTTTCTTGGTTATTTTCGCTTCGTTTGCTCTGATTTCTGCTCCGAGTTTCAATCTTGCTCCATTCATTTTCAAATTTGTTTTCTGCAATTTTCGAATTGCCCGTGTTTTTAAAATTTTCTAGATCAATAAATTTGTTTCTTTTTTCTTCATCTTTCGTTGATACAGTTAAGTTTTCGATAATTCGTTTAAAATAAGTGACATTTTCGATCAAGTCTTTATACAGCTCGTATTTCATTTCGTCGTTCAAATTTCGGAAAGTTTCGAGGTCAAACATGTTGGCGATTAAAAGCGAAATTAAAAATAAGAC